TCCAATTTCTCTTACACAGTAAAAAATTTTCACTTATTTCACGTTGAACTTATCTGATCTTACAGGAGGGATGGGGTCACGTCCCCCCTCCTCAGTTATAGTCCTGGATATAAGGATATCCCATGTTATGAAAATATTTGTAAATATTTTCTTACGAAAAGTGAAGATATTTTTAATCGTTTTGATGCTAAGGCATTTTTTGTAAGTGTAGCTATATTGCTACAAATAAAAATGTTGCGAGCATTTTTTAAATATCTTAACGGTTTTTGTACTTGCAAAACCTCTGTCATTTTTTTTTGCTATTCTACTTTAAACAAAATTCTGAATTTTCAATTATTCTGTCAATAAATTTTAGAAAGGATAAAGTGCTAACGTATTATAACTTTTGTCAATAATCAAATATCAAAAATAGGTTTTCAAATAGTCTTTTAATTCCCATCATCAGAGTAAGGACAAGGTTTTATCAATCAAAAATAATCACGAAAAAAAAAATATATTATATTAAATTTTACAGTGAAAAGAAACCCACATTGGATTTGATCTTATTGTTTTAATAATACTAAAAATAATAACATTAAAAATAACTTTAAAATGAACAGATTTGGACCCAGTCAATCTTTCCCTTTTTTCAATCTTCATTTCTTTATTTACCATACATTTATCACCCATTAGTAAAAAAATAAAGCCACAAAAGAAAATAAAAATTTTTCTTCTATCAGTTATGTACTGTGAAACTTTTTAAAAATCTCCAATTATTTGATTTATTAAGCTGTGACTTGCGAGGTGCTAATCCCTGTTTTCAGACACAAATTTTCTTGATACATGAATTTTAGAGACTCTCCTCTACTCTCCATAAACTAAAGCCTAGACAAGAGGACGGTTAGACTAAGAACAGAATGTTGGGACGGGGGCATATTCCCTATATGCTGTCTCGTCTACTTCTTCAGGTTCATATAAGCCTGGAGTAGTTGCTTCAACCTCAGAGTCAACCAAGACATCAACAAGTATAAACAACATGAATCCTATCATTGGATTTGCCTTTCTTATCCTGGTAGGTTGGAAATTGTATCAAAAATGGAGATTACCAAAGAACTTCCCTCCTGGACCAAGAAGTCTCCCTGTCCTAGGAGCCATTCATCATCTCTCCGACAACCTTCTTGAAAGTTTTCTACACCTTAGATCTAAATACGGAAACATCTTTGGGTTGAGAATTGGACCAACTCCTACAGTTGTTATATCAGATTTTCACACTTGTGTCAAGGTTTTCAAGGATGCAAACTTCTCTGCTAGACCCACATATCTTACTGAAGTAATGGGCAGTGTTATGTCCAGACCTGAAGATGACCCAAGTCCAAACCGTGGAATAGTTTTCAGCTCTGGAAAGGTCTGGGATGAGCAAAGAAAGTTTATTCTCAAGAAGCTGAGTGAGTTCGGAGTTGGTAAATCCAGGTTGGAGGAGACTGTTACAGAACAGGTTGAGATGCTGGTTAAACTCCTAAGAAAGGATTCTACCAAGGGAAATGTTAAGCTTGGAGAAAGGTTCAGTGTCTCCCTGGTAAACTCAATCTGGAATATTGTGACAGGATCACAGTTTGATCTTGAGGATCCACTTATTCACAGTATCTACAAGGGAATTGACAGGTTCATTGATTCCCATCGACTTATTGGAGTCTTCATGGTGTTCCCTTGGCTCAGACATATTGTTTCCTATCTTGGAGGAGCTTTGAACAAGATGAAGGAGGATGTTAGAAACATGATGAAGAATATTGTAGATGATCATATTGATCTATCTACTGGATATGACAAAGATCTGGTAGATTCTTACATTACAAAGATGTCCGAGACAACAGATACAACTTCATCATTCTTTGGTAGAAAGGGTAGAACCAACCTGGAGCAGAATATGCTGGAACTATTTGGTGCTGGAGCCAACCCTGTAGCAACCACCTTATCCTTCTGCTTTCTTTACCTTGCCAAAAATCCTAAACTTCAGGAGAAAATATTTCAAGAAATTGATGAAAATGTTGGAACTGGATATGCAATTTCAATGGAGGATGTGCACAAGCTACCCTACACAAATGCTTTTATCCATGAGATCATGAGAATAACTGCAATCAACTTCATTGGAACCCCGCATATGAACTTCAAGGATGCTAAGATTGGAGAATATAATGTTCCAGCTGGAACTACAGTGTTCTCATTTCTCTGGTATATTATGAATGATCCAACATACTGGAAGAGTCCTAGAGAGTTTATTCCTGAGAGGTTTATTGAAAATGGAGAGTTTGTCAAAGATGAACGCCTTATCCCTTTCCTTGTTGGACGAAGACAATGCATTGGAATGGCATTGGCTCAAACAGAAATGTTCCTATTTTTCTCCAACCTAGTTCGAGAATTCAGATTTTCAGAAAGCTCATCAGTTCCTCTCCCTGCCCCCACTCCAACTATGGGATTTGTAATGGGATGTCCGGAATACGAAATCAAGATAGAGGATAGATAAACTGCTAAACTCCAACAGGAGAATCTCAGAAGAGAAATACCAAAGAAAAATATAAGTGATAATGCATTCTTAATATTGTATAAATCTAGTTCTTAATTTACTTGTTTAAAAATAAACTCACGATTATAATTTATTTGCATTTTATTGAAGACATACCTTTTTTACAATTGATTAGAAAGAGAAAGAAGAAAGTGCTTTCAGCAATAAAAACACGTTAATTGAAAATTTATAATAAATACTATTACAGTATATTGTATCAAGAATACTTACAAAATAAAGGGTTTTCCCAAAATACATTGCTTACTGAGATTTTATGGTAAAGAAAGATTGAAAATATTTTACAAAATATAATAAAAAAACTTTAAAGTTAGGATATGCGTTAAACTTCTAAACTTCAATTGAGAATTTCAAAAGTTTTTAGCTAAAAAACAAAGCAATGACGTTTTTTACAAAATCCAATTACTTATTTTCAACTGCACTGTCTCTGCGTTATTAATAGGGTTAAAATATTTTGAAAAAAGAAGGAAACAAAAAACTGTGTTTACTAAAATGATTTCTTTTTACTCGGATATCAAAAGCAAATATTTTCTACTGATTTAAGAAATAAACAAATTTAAAGAAAATGAAACCTTGTTGAAATGGGGTAATCAATAGGTTCATACTGACACCATATAATAGTAAAAGATCAATACTATATATCCCCAGTTATTAGTCCAGGGGAGAACACAGTTTACCCAGTAACTGTAGATTTTTCGCATTTGCTATTTTATACATTTTTGTTGGGATATGTATCTCTTACACTAATTTTGACAGATTTTGAATTTATTTTGTATAAATGATAGAAAGTCAACTGTAAGAAAATAAGTTTAGTTATACCCCTTTCCTTTTTACTGAACACTCCCTTTAACAGCTTACCTGATTTGGTTTGGCTCGCTGGACAGCTGGCAGAGATCGGGGTTCGTTTACAGTTAGAGCTTTAGTTATTTTTCTTCGCACCTTATCAAGTTGATCTCTACTACTGATACGATGTATACCACTGCTCACACTTTCAATCAAACTAAACAAAGAAACTGATTTCTTGCCACAAACTCATTCTTTTATCTTTCCATCCTTTAGTTACCACAAACTCTTTGACCTTTCCATCCTCTACTTGCCACAAACTCTAATTTTCTCATCTTTTATCTTTCCATCCATTCCCTGCCAAAAACTCTAATTTTCTCATCTTTTATCTTTCCATCCATTCCCTGCCATAAACTTAAATTATCTCATCCCTTTCTTTTCGCAACCTTATGGAGTAATCCTTTGGTTTTTCAATCTAGCAGAAGTCTTCAATGCGACGAGAAAGATTATGAGCATTTTAATGAATATAATTGAAATGACATTTGCAAATATACAATTGGATAAAGAAAAAAGAATTTTAAGGCAATGATTGAGTTTAATTGTTTTGTAGTATGAATTTTGTACAACAAATGGCTATGTAATAACTTCAAGTTTTACAATTTTTTAAAATTACTTTCTTATATAAAAATTTGGTTTAAAAAATTAGAATTCACACCCAAAAAAGTATGTACTGAAGTATATTTTTTTTCGAAACTTCCAAAATTAACATTTTTCTAATCTCTAAAATTTCTTTTTTGTTTTGATTTAATTTTGGTAGTGTAAATATGTGTTTGTTTTTACCTTTGGTCTTCTTTATCTCCATCCACGATTGTTTCTTTCTTCTTTGTTTTCTTCTTTGACCTAAAACAATTTAAAATATTTAGAAAAAAATTCTGACAAAAAGTAGCATTTTTTCTCGTTAAACGTGTAATAGAATTGCGGCTTTGCAAAATCTCAATTTTTTTAACTTCTATATTTTTGCCACCTGGCGGTGTAAACCTTTCATATTTCAAACTTTGATTATTTGATCTGAAAGAATTCACAGCTTGAAGTATATAAGGTCTACGACATTTGGTTGCAAAGAAATATGGATAAGAAAATTATAGTTTGTGGCAACAACTCAATTTCTTAATAAACATTCTAGGGAAGTAGAAAAAAGTCTGATCTGTAAGTAAATGATAAAATTATAACACGTCCAAAAATCTAAAAATTCGAGAAATATAAAAAAAGATTATTTTTGATTATTTAAAGTAGAAAAAAGCGTATTTATTTATTTTCAGCTCTGTACATAAATGATAAAATTGTAACACCTTCAAAAAGTCTAAAAAATCTTGAAATATAAAAAAATTAGTTTTGATTATTTAAAGTAGAAGAAAGCGTATCTATTTATTTTCAGCTCTATACATTAATGATAAAATTGTAACACGTCCAAAAATATCTTTTAAAAATCTTGAAATATAAAAAAGATTAGTTGAATATGAAATAGAAATATGAAAAAATATTAGTTTTTTTTTATTTGAAGTAGAAAATAGCGTATTTAATGATAAAATTGTAACACGTCCGAAAATATAAAAAATCTTGAAATATAAAAGAGATTAGTTGAAGCTTAAAAATACTTGATTTAAAAGTTAAACATCTTAAAATATTAGTTCCCGCTTTCTTGCATTATTTGATGAAACATCATGCAAAAAATAAAATCTGAGAATTTTTTGAGAATATCCAGGGGGCTCTTTTAAAGGAGTTAGTAGAGGGCCAAAGTTCTGAAAATGAGCCTATAGCCTATAATACATCGAAGCTCTTACAAGCAGGTTTTAAGCAGATAATAATATAAACACAAAATGTACAGTTAAAACCTAAATATTAAATACATCAAAAGGATTTTTGAAATGTCGTCTTGACAATTTTTAAAGGGTTTTATACTATTTTACGTAAATTTCAGTATTTACGAAAAAAAAAAAATTGCCATGAATACGCGGTAACAGTTTTAAAGACCTCCATATAATAATCATTTAATTAAAAAACTAAATATCTGCAACATTCCATTATCAGAAAGTGAAGAAAACGACATTTGATGAATTCTCTCGATGTATTTTATATTTAGGGGTTAACTGTGCAATACACCAGAGCCTGCGATTCAAAAACTTCGGCTCGAGCCGTAATTCCTTAAACCCGACTTTTAGACCCAATCTTCGACTCAACTCTTACGACAGCTTGTGTCACGTGATTGACAGCTGCGAGATCTTCGGCTCGACTTAAGGAGTTAGGCTCAATGAAAATAAAACCGACCATGGTTGGTTTTAGAGGAGAATAAGGCTCAATGTTGCGTCTTGTTCTCATAAAAACTGGGAATGCGCAAATTCCTACCATGAAAATCCGCCAAATAGAATATTAAACCGGTGTTTTGAATTCAACTCTGTGGAAAATAAGATGCAGCTTGAATCCTAAAGCTCAAGCCGTAAATAAGGTCCAACGACAGCTTAGACCTGAGCCGTATTTTCCCAAGTTTTTTAAATCGCAGGCTCAGGTTTAGTTAATCTAACATGCAGAAGGATCAGTTATTCATTAAAAACTTCGGTTCATTTGAAGACCAGGACCACGACTACACAGACTGCTAGTACAGGACCACGACTACACAGACTGCTAGTACAGGACCACGACTACACAGACTGCTAGTACAGGACCACGACTACACAGATTGCTTATCTCGACTTTCACAGTGTTGGCTACGTAGGCCTAAGTTGATCCAGCACGACATGCTACGTTTTTACGATAGGTTTTTAGAGTGCCATCTCACGGCCACTTGTTGAACATAATACCCACTCAGGGGATAAGTTTTACAACTTTTAAAGAAATACTTCAATTTTGAACATAAAACATAACATTTATGAATTCAGCCTATTTGTGTTTCGTATCCAAAGGATCCTTAAATATCCTTGAATACAGATGTTTTCTGATTGGTTGTGTACAGTACTTGTACACAATAGAAAAAGCTGAGGGAAATATTGCATATCATAAGTTTCAATCGATCTCTGTAACTCTCTTATCTTTGTACAGGACTGACTTTAAGACATGCTAGAGCAAGAATGTACACCTGTACAGTATCTATACAGACTAGACAGGGAAACTGGGACGTTACAACAAATAAAGGTTCTCCACCTTATGGGATTGATGTGTATCATTTAGATATAGAGTGTTCGCGAAAGCTAAAAGAATAATAGGATCACTTGATATTATTTTATCTCTATTCGATGTTTCTTGAAATTGGCGGACACTTTGACAGTTAGCAAAGTATCACCTACCAGTGAAAAACTGGTTACCCTACCCACTCATGTGACGAACATGAAATTGATGTCGATCATTTTTTTGTACACAAATGTGTAACGTGTTTTTACATTCAGGGCTTAACTCAGGAATTTGTCCGGGGTTGGGCTTAGACATATTTTTCTTTCTAGAGGGGGGGGGGGCGTAGGGCCATGGGGGGGGGTAATTCATGATTTTTCTTCTTTAATATGTTTCGTGGGACACCCTGGATATCAAGGTATTACTTCTAGGCTCGTTTATAAGTCCGTTCTCTCTGAAAACATACTGAAAGCGGGTTAACTAATCTAGCATGCAGGGTTCAAAACTTATGATTAATCACGCATAGATCAGCTTATCCAAACCTGTTAAACAGGGTTATCTTGTATCCGGGATCTGATTCTCTACTGGGATCCGACTCATCATAACCCAAACTCCGTTCAAGACTGATAATATATATCCGTTCCAGACTGATAATATATCCGTTCAAGACTGTTAATATATCTGTTCAAGACTGATAATATATCCGTTCAAGACTGTTAATATATTTGTTCAAGACTGATAATACATTCATTCAATAATGTTAATATATACGTTCAAGACTGATAATATATCCGTTCAAGACTGTTAATATATCCGTTCAAGACTGATAATATATCCATTCAAGACTGATAATATATCCGTTCATGACTGATAATAAATCCATTTAAGACTTATAATATATCCGTTCAAAACTGTTAATATATCCGTTCATGACTGATAATATATCCGTTCATGACTGATAATATATCCATTCAAGACTAATAATATATCCGTTCCAGACTGATAATATATATCCGTTCAAGACTGTTAATATATTTGTTCAAGACTGATAATAAATCCGTTTAAGACTGATAATATATTTGTTCAAGACTGATAATACATTCATTCAATAATGTTAATATATACGTTCAAGACTGATAATATTTCTGTTCAAGGTTGATAATATATCCGTTCAAGACTGTTAATATACTCTATCAAGACTGATAACATATCTTTAAAGACTGATAATATATCCATTCAAGACTGATAATATATCCGTTCAAGACTGTTAATATATTTGTTCAAGACTGATAATATATCTGTTCAAGACTGATAATAAATCCGGTCAAGACTGTTAATATATCCGTTTAAGACTGATGATATATATGTTCAATACTGATAATATATCCGTTCAAGACTGTTAATATATCAGTTCAAGACTGTTAATATATCCGTTCAAGACTGCTAATATATCCGTTCAAGACTGATAATATATCTGATCAAGTATAAAAAAAATTGTAATAAATCAGCGTTAAACTTAAATTGTGATTGATAATACTTAGTTGATTGAAGAAACTGAATTAATTAATTGATTAATTAACTAATTACCCAGGGGATGGAGGAGCTGTTTTTGACAACCAGGCATACGGGTCTTCATCATCTCCCACCTCCAGGGCAGAGGCTTGTCTAAACATAACATGATTATTATGATGATGATGAGGATGATAATGATCATATACCTGTACCTGTACCTGTACCTGTACCTGTACCTGTACCTGTACCTGTACCTGTACCTGTACCTGTATCTCTACCCGAAGCTCCGAATGTATCAAGATCTACTATACTCCCCCTCCTACTTGACACAGCACTCCAAACTATTTCTCTCTCTGTATTCCTTCTACTCCTCATCGGACCAGCCTATAGTAAAATAAAACTACGGTGGGACACATACAACTACGGAATAGGAAAACGACTGTTAGACTCAAGGTATGATGTTAAATAGTCTATTTAACATAAAACACTGCTGCTGTGCAGTGAGCACAAACCCATTTTACTTTAAAAATTGTTTTTAAAGTCACTGATAAAACTAACTTCTTTGTAGATCAAAAATACAAAAGTTTACTAATTTTGCGTCTTCCTCATCCACAGTTTTATGGAAGCCTGCTGTATATTTTAATGATTCATCTTTTTCAATAGATTCTGTAATATATATGTGAAGATTTAACAGATAAAATAGATTATGGAAATTATTGGTATTAATTAATAACCAAACAAATTTACAAATTTTGAGTTTAAATCATCGTCTAAGAAACAAAATAGTTCTGAGTCTTGTTGACTTTTTTGTCTCAAACTCTAAATTTTGCAACCTGATGGTGATGTAAACCTTTTGATATTTTAACTCATAGTTACAACGTCAGGCTGCAGAGATATATGGATTAAAAATAAATGCATAGTTCTAGGTGAGTGATAACTTTCTTTACCTTCTCTAAATCATGCATTTGCATTCCTGGATCTGAGAGAGTATCAAGATTTATCTGTATGGAAGCTCGTCGGGACGGATTACTGTAGTACAGGACATCAGCCTCGTCAGCCTCGGAGGTTCGATCGGAGAATGTGTTTCCAGCCTCCTCTCTAGCCTGGTTTATCTCCTCCAGGAGAATATCCTCCTGAGCGTCCTCGTTGAGTGTAGAGAGAAGACCGGAGACAGTTGCTTGCTCCAGGGCAACCTGTCGTTCCATAGCAGTCTGCTTCCGTCTTATACCAGAGTCCATCCTGCTTAACCTATCCTCCAGCTTATCCTCTGGAAGGCGCTGGGTCAAGTCGAGACCAGGGCTGCTCGGCCTCGGACCTCCGTTCATCTCATCCTCGCGCAGAGAGGTCAGCGTGATCTTAAAGAGTTCCCAGTCACCAAAGTTCATGTTTATCACATTTTTCAGTTCATCAACCTCGCAGTTCATGAGAACTCTTCCGTTGATATTGTTATATACAATAGTTCCACAGTAGGTCTCCAACATTGAGGGATTGATGTACTCAATAGTCTTGAGAAGAGTACATACTTGTTCTACAGACATGTTAGAGAGCAGAAGACCCTGAAGTTCGTGTGGAAGAACTATACTAGGCAGGTTTACAGGTCTGGGTTGCATGTAGGGATAGTACTGCTGTGTTGGATAGGGTTGATATTGTTGCCAAGGGTAGGGCGGGTTCATAGGATTCATTCCTCCAAACTGTGGGACACGGTTGGATGGATAGTTGAGTGTGTCCTGAGGGTTCATCTTCTTAGATAGTCCGACAACCTGCCGTCTTGTTAACGGGGTATTCGATGTTAGTTTAGGGTTTAGAGGATGCTGGGAGGTTGGAGCACTCTGGGGGGAGGAGAGGATGTTGAGACCGAGCTCTTCAAGGTTCTGAACCTCGTCCTTGATCACCTTCTTGATGAACGGGTCAAGGTTGATGGTGAAGGGCAGGAAAATCTTCAGGTTTGCCACTGTCAACGTCTTCCTGTGAAAGGAGAGGAAGGCATCCAGCTTTTTCTCGTCCCTGTCCATCTCCAGGAGGGGTTCAACCTCCTTCTGGGTCGGGATCACAGGGCGCACCTTCATTAAAGGGACTGTAAGCGTAATTTCAAGTGACCCTCCATGCAAAGATAGCAATGCCCGATTTCCAATAGTACCCTTAAAACCTTAATCTGAGTTGGGAACTTTTAAATGGGATATCCTTAATCCTGATCAGTTAATTAATAACAAGAGAAGAACAAGCATTATTTAATCTTGAGATTAAGAAAAAGAGGAGATCAAGCATTGATCTCAATATCCACCATTCTAAAGGTTTAAGCTCTGTTCAAAAATATGGAAGATAACGTCGATTTCTGATTAGAAAAGTGTTTATTTCTGTGAATTGTCTCTTTAACGTCGATTTCTGATTAGAAAAGTGTTCATTTCTGTGAATTGTCTCTTTAACGCAAGAAATGTGCAAGTCAATTTTGCGGAGAAACCACAAATGAAAATAAACAGTTTATATAAACAAAAACATAAATATCTAATTCATACTTGATCAGACAAAGCTTTATGTGCACCGTTGTAAATCGGGCACCGCCATCTTGAAATATTATACTGAAGTCTATATGAACCTTTTAATACTTCACAATTTTAATTAAACCAAAATGGATATTTGAAAATTTAATTTTAGATTTTATTATATTCTTATACCAAAAAGTAAGGTCCCATTAAAAAAAAATTCTAAAAAAATGGAACCTTATCATAAACATGCTTTAGAGATACAGAGTCATCTAACTTGTCCTCACAGGTTTCAACATAGAGGGTTATCCAGCTAGCTCTGTAAATAAATATATATTTGGGTTGTTTATTTGTTTCTTTGTTTAAATTTAACGTCCAAACGGCTAAACCGAATCGGGTCCTAACTATCATGACCTATGGAAAGGTTTAAGGCCGATCTAAAGTTAAAAAAAAAAACCAGATATCAATTTATTAAAAAATAAAAATCCACGTAAATTTTTAATGGTGTAATAACTTTAAAATGTACGAAGACGACAAGGCTTAAAGATAGGTTAGTAACAGCCAGCTGAAGGTTAGCAACAGCCAGCTGAAGGTTAGCAACAGCCAGCTGATGGTTAGCAACAGCCAGCTGATGGTTAGCAACAGCCAGCTGAAGGTTAGCAACAGCCAGCTGATGGTTAGCAACAGCCAGTTGAAGGTTAGCAACAGCCAGCTGATGGTTAGCAACAGTCAGCTGATGGTTAGCAACAGCCAGCTGAAGGTTAGCAACAGCCAGCTGATGGTTAGCAACCGTCAGCTGATGGTTAGCAACAGTCAGCTGAATGTTAGCAACAGCCAGCTGAATGTTAGCAACAGCCAGCTGAAGGTTAGCAACAGCCAGCTGATGGTTAGCAACAGTCAGCTGAAGGTTAGCAACAGCCAGCTGATGGTTAGCAACAGTCAGCTAATGGTTAGCAACAGTCAGCTGAAGGTTAGCAACAGTCAGTTGATGGTTAGCAACAGCCAGCTGAAGGTTAGCAACAGTCAGCTAAAGGTTTGCAACAGTCAGTTGATGGTTAGCAACAGCCAGCTGAAGGTTAGCAACAGCCAGCTAAAGGTTAGCAACAGTCAGTTGAAGAACCCTGCTTATTAACTTATTACTACAGTGAAAACCAGAAAACGTTTTAATATGAAGACGACATTAAAGCATCTAAAGCGTATATGTTGATGTTACTAAGCAAATAGTGTTACTAGTAGCTTATATATAAATCATGAAGTGAAAAGGTCTGTACTATAAGACTATTTAAAATCATATGTTGAGTCTAAAAGTCGTCTTCTTTCTATTCCAGAATTGTCTGGTTCTTACTGTATCATAACTTATATTTTATTTAACCACCTGTAGGGCCATTGCTCCGTTATATTTTATTTAATCACCTGTAGGGCCATTGCTCCGTAATATTTGCCCAACTGGATAAATGATGCCAGCTAAACTCAATACTAAACATTTATTTTTATATTTGATTCTTTTAATATCATGCAAACAATAATTTCAGATAAAGATGGATTTTTCTAATTATTTAATGAGATAATTCACCTTTTTGAAAAAGAACTTGATTTTGTTTTTTAAACTGAAGAATCAAATCAAATCAAATCAAATATTATTTATTTACGCAGAAACATTGATAAATCATTATTACAAGTGGTAGATTAATTGTCAACTGATTAATGTTCTGCGTCTGGAGAACTGCTAAAGCTGTAGCTGTTTTCATATCAGCTCCCCAGTTGCTCGATAATACATGTTGCCAACCAATAAAAGATGTCCGAGAGAGTCAGCATAATACAGATAATATTATGGCTTTTGAAATTAGGTATTATAATGCTAATTCATAGCAAAGACGATTTACAATTCGTCACTGAATTCCCATGTTTTTTGGGACACCCTGTAGATATTTTAAGTTATTTCATTATTTCACAAATTACGCTTTGATTAAGTATTTTGAATGGGCGAAAAATCCACAAAAAGGGACAAAAGACGTCAATTCTAAAGACCATCTGTCTAAAAAAAAGTGCTGAATTCTGTTAATTCCTTCCATGTTTCTGAGGCACATATGTGCATTATACTTGAGAAACCACAAATGAAAATGAACAATTTTTAGCTAAGCCAATTAAAGTATCTTGTTCATCCTTTATAAATTGAGGGTGACTTGAAATTGTGTACAGTCTCTTTAAAAAGAAAGCCTAGAATCCTCCTCCTACCTGAACGCTTTAAGAAGACGACCCATGACATAAATCACATTCATTAATCTTCTCATACTTCTAGGGTTCACGTCAGAGAAGTAATCATCTGTCAAGAACATCTTGTTCACTTCTACAGGACCATGTCCTGGGTAATAATAATAATAATTCTAATTCAACCTTCAAACTTGTTTCGAAAAAAATCCCCACCTATTTTGAGGTATGATCAATAGATCAAATAGAGTAATAAGTACAATAGGTGGCAACAGAGAAATGGACCAACTGTACACGACGTCACAAGTGTCAAATATAACAAGGAAAAAGGAAATTTTCTTACATGAGTTGACATGTTTTCTAATATTAAATAAAAAAATGTAAAAACAGAAAATAAAGAACACATAAAATTGCACTTGTTTTACTGTAAGATCTAAAATTATCTCTATTATTAATCATTTTGTTGGACACAAAAATTGAATTGACACTTGTGACGTCAGAATACAGCTGTACTGAGAGTGTACAAATTCTACGCTGCCATCTGTTGTACTAGAATCTGTTTGAAATAGATTATCAATTGACAATCTATTTGGGAATGACACTTTTTCCAGTGATTAACAATGAATAAATGCGATAATATTTGACACTAATTTTTTTAACGTAATCATTGACAATAATGATACAGGGTGTCCCACGAAACATGACAATATCTAGACGATTTTGAAGGTCGTCTTAGAACTTTGAAATAGTTTGCGGCATTTTTTCGAAAACTTTTTTTTAGGAGGAAAATTCTAGAATTAATAATCACAAAATACCAATTGTCTTGGCATTTCCAAATTGTGGTCTGCCTTTTTTGTGCTTTCAATATTTCCGGAGATATGATGAATTTCCTTCAGATTTGGACAATTTTGGTTTTATTTTATAAAAATTAAATCTGAACGAAATTCTTAATATCTCCAGTAATATTGAATGCACAAAAAATGCAGACCACATTTTGGAAACGGCAGGACTAGGCGAATTTTGTGGTTATTGTTATTGGAATCATGCATGTAAAAGAAGGTTGAAGACTAAACGTCACCAATAACTTAAAAGTTGAAAGACGACTTTCAATTCGTCTGGCTAGTGTCATGTTTCGTGGGACACCCTGTACATAAAACGACTTTGTAATATAATACAATAATTAAATATTAACCTTGTGATATTCTGTTCAAATTGCTGGCAACACTGTTCTCAACACTCTCACAATAACTTTTCTTCTTGGTTCGTCTTAGCTTAGATATACTTCTAGAGGCAGGGACCTGGAGATATTATATTATTATTAGTAATTCAGGGAGTTTAACGCCACTCTTAGATATACTTCTGGAGGCAGGGACCTGGAGATATTATATTATTATTAGGAATTCAGGGAGTTTTACGCCACTATTAGATATACTTCTGGAGGCAGGGACCTGGAGATATTATATTATTATTAGGAATTCAGGGAGTTTTACGCCATTCTTAGATATACTTCTGGAGGCAGTGACCTGGAGATATTATATAATAATTATGAATTCATGGAGTTTTACGCCACTATTAGATATACTTCTGGAGGCAGGGACCTGGATATATTAAATTATTATTAGGAATTCAGGGAGTTTTACGCCACTATTAGATATACTTCTGGAGGCAGGGACCTGGAGATATTATATAATAATTATAAATTCAGGGAGTTTTACGCCACTATTAGATATACTTCTGGAGGCAGGAACCTGGAGATATTATATTATTATTAGGAATTCAGGGAGTTTTACGCCACTATTAGATATACTTCTGGAGGCAGGCGCCTGGAGATATTATATAATAATTATGAATTCAGGGAGTTTTACGCCACTATTAGATATACTTCTGGAGGCAGGGACCTGGAGATATTATATTATTATTAGGAATTCAGGGAGTTTTACGCCACTATTAGATATACTTCTGGAGGCAGGGACCTGGAGATATTATATNATAATAATAATAATAATAATAATAATAATAATAATAATAATAATAATAATAATAATAATAATAATAATAATAATAATAATAATAATAATAATAATAATAATAATAATAATAATAATAATAATAATAATAATAATAATAATAATAATAATAATAATAATAATAATAATAATAATAATAATAATAATAATAATAATAATAATAATAATAATAATAATAATAATAATAATAATAATAATAATAATAATAATAATAATAATAATAATAATAATAATAATAATAATAATAATAATAATAATAATAATAATAATAATAATAATAATAATAATAATAATAATAATAATAATAATAATAATAATAATAATAATAATAATAATAATAATAATAATAATAATAATAATAATAATAATAATAATAATAATAATAATAATAATAATAATAATAATAATAATAATAATAATAATAATAATAATAATAATAATAATAATAATAATAATAATAATAATAATAATAATAATAATAATAATAATAATAATAATAATAATAATAATAATAATAATAATAATAATAATAATAATAATAATAATAATAATAATAATAATAATAATAATAATAATAATAATAATAATAATAATAATAATAATAATAATAATAATAATAATAATAATAATAATAATAATAATAATAATAATAATAATAATAATAATAATAATAATAATAATAATAATAATAATAATAATAATAATAATAATAATAATAATAATAATAATAATAATAAAAATAATAATAATAATAATAATAAAAATAATAATAATGATAATAAAACGTACTCTTCTGTTTGGCTGCCAACTGCTGCGCTTTCTTTACTTTCCTTAAACCTGAGTTCTGGAGGAAGAATGGTAAATGAACCATATTCCTAAAAGAAATATTTATATCAATTAATCATTAGATGTCATTTATTTGCTTGTTAATAATTGTACCTAAGATATGCATTACCCCCGATGGATGTGTCTGAGAAAACCTGGTTTAAGTTTAACTCTATTGCCTAAAAAATGGAAACATTAAAATTATAAATATTTTCAAGAAGAAATAGTAGATATATGGATATCTATATTTTTAAAGTTGTAATCTCTGCTTGTTTGTTTGGATGTCCGATCATAACTCAGAAACCCCTGGACTGATTTGCTTCAAATTTAGGTTGATCCACTCAAAAAGTTGGGTGGGTCGAATTCAATAGTTTAAATCATAATTTAAGACCAAGCGCACGTAAACGGCGGAAGTAACAATGATTGAGAAAGAGAAAGACGGATTTATCCATTGAAAAATATGGATGAAAAAATGGATATGGATGCACAGAATGGATAGTATAGATGGATGTATAAAGATAAATCAATATATATTTTTTAAGATGGATATGAATGCAAAGATAAGTAAGGATGGATGGATATGGAAGGATACTGGATAGAGAGTAAAGAAGAATGACAGGTGCATGGTTAGAAACATGATTTTTGAGTTTTAACTTTCTTTATTTTGGACTTCTTATCAAGTGGTTTTAAGATACATATTTGGATGGATGGAATTTAAAAATAGATAAATGGATATGGATAAATACCTAAATAATAACATGAGGATCTATGGCTAGAATGTATATGGATGAATACCTTATAATAACATGAGGATCTATGGCTAGAATATATATGGATGAATACCTTAATAATAACATGAGGATCTATGGCTAGAATGTATATGGATAAATACCTAAATAATAACATGAGGATCTATGGTTAGAATGTATATGGATAAATACCTTAATAATAACATGAGGATCTATGGCTAGAATATATATGGATAAATACCTTAATAATAACATGAGGATCTATGACTAGAATGTATATGGATAAATACCTTAATAATAACATGAGGATCTATGGCTAGAATGTATATGGATAAATACCTTAATAATAACATGAGGATCTATGGCTAGAATGTATATGGATGAATACCTTAATAATAACATGAGAGTCTATGGCTAGAATGTATATGGATAAATACCTTAATAATAACATGAGGATCTATAGCTAGAATGTATATGGATGAATACCTTAATAATAACATGAGGATCTATGGCTAGAATGATGATAAAGGGTAGACCAGGTTCAGAAAAGAGACTATGAACTGTATCCAGGACGGATAATATCTTCCTCTGTTCAACACTATCCAACCCATCAACTATCTACAAAAAAAGGTCCTAATAACTCGCCCAAAACTGCAATTTTCTTTGCCTTATATCTTAGCAACCTGATGGCGTAAACCTTTAATATTTCCAACTTTAACACTTAAATCTGGCGGAATTTATAATTTGACATATTAAAGATTTGAAATTCGATTTTGTGGTGTGTGTTTAGTTTCTTTCATCAGTAAAAGTAATGGCCATCAGATAAGAGTAAAAAAGCAAAATTAATGATTTATTGCAATGCTAGTATAACATTAAACTCACTCAGGATACAATTTTGATAATAACATGGATCTTTTTAATGACTAATATATTAAGGTTAAATTAATTCTCAATTAAATTTAAGGTTATACAAAAAAAATACTTCTTAAAGGGAATGTTCGCGAAAAATGAAAGGGGTTATAGGCTCACGGCGAAAAATTATCGCTTTTGATCGCTACTAATCCTGTTCTCTCTGTTGTGTCTATAAAGAGAAAATTGTTAAAAACAACTTATACTGAAGAATTTTCTCCTTATAGGCGCAACAGATAGAAGTAAGATTAGAAGCGATCAAAAGCGATTATTTTTCGCCGTAAGCCTATGCCCACTTTCATTTTTTGAGAACACTCCCTTTAAGGGTCCAGAGAAATATTAAGATTGAATAAACTGTGTAAAGCGCGCTGTTAAAGAAAGTGTCCACATCTATGGAAAAATTCGAAGAATCATATATTTGTAAAGTAGGTTTATAACTTACCACAATAAGCCTGGACTGCTGCCCAGAGTAGGCATCCAGTGCTTTCACCATCTGCTGGAGCAAATGTACTTCCTTCCTTACTGCCTGCAGGTACCCTGAACATATCTAGGTTGATACCTTGAGCATATCTAGGCTTAGAGATACCTTGAACATTTTAGGTTTAGAGATTCCCTGAACATATCTAGGCTTAGATATACACTGAACGTATCTAGGTTTATAGATACCTTGAATACATCTAGGTTCAGAGATACCTTGAACATATCTAGGTTTAGAGATATCCTGAACATATAAATGTTTTGAGATAACTTGAACATATAAAGGTTTAGAGATACCTTGAACATATAAAGGTTTAGAGATATTTCTAGGGTTCTCTATAGTTTATAAACTATACCTTCTGATTGAATAAGATCATGTTTAGCTACAGCTCTCTGAAGATGGGTTCGCTGGGAGAAGATTAAAGAGTTTAGAACCTGTCCGATAGTGTAGATATTAGATACCAGGAGTAAACCTAAACAAGATGTGTAGATATTAGATACCAGGAGTAAACCTAAACAAGATAGTGTACATATAAGATACTAGGAGTAAACCTAAACAAGATAGTGTAGATATTAGATACCAGGAGTAAACCTAAACAAGATAGTGTAGATATTTGATACCAGGAATAAACCTAAACAAGATAGATAGTGTAGATATTAGATACCAGGAGTAAACCTTAACAAGAAATTGTAGATATTAGATACCATGAGTAAACCTTAACAAGATAGTGTAGATATTAGATACCAGGAGTAAACCTAAACAAGATAGTGTAGATATTAAGTATCAGGAGTAAACCTAAACAAGATAGTGTAGATATTAGATACCAGGTATAATCCTAAACAAGATAGTGTAGATATTAGATACCAGGAGTAAATGTAAACAATATAGTGTAGATATTAGATACCAGGAGTAAACCTAAACCAGATAGTGTTGATATTAGATACCAGGAGTAAACCTAAACAAGGATAGTGTAGATATCAGATACCAGGAGTAAACATAAACAAGATTATAGTATTATCATTTTTTATACATTTAAACTCTAAATATTAAATGAATCGGAAGACCTTGGCAAATGTCGTATTCTTCACTTTCTGATAACGGAATGTTGCAGATATTTAGTTTTTTAACTAAATGATTATAATAAGCTCTTTAAAACTGTTCCGGCTTTATGGCTATTTATTTATTTTCGCAAATACTGAAATTCACGTAAAATAGAATAAAACCCATTAAAAAATTGTCAAGACGGCATTTCATAAATTCTTTCGATGTATTTAATATTTAGGGGTTAACTTTATTATATTATTATATTTTATATTTATTTTTAATTGTAGTTTCCTGTTTAAATAACTTGCGGATTTCTGCTTCAGAACAATAGAGGAAATTGTTAGAATTAAACACCTTTTAAGCTGTATTCCACCTCATAGAGCACACACCACACCAGTTTAAAGGGTACCGTTGTGAATCGAATATGTCCCTCACTTGTAATTCCAACATGAGTCTCTTTAAAGGAATTGTTGACAAAATAAACTTACTAAGAATGACTCCCAGTAGAATGGCAAGGATGAAGAGCATGTTGTCTACTTTAGCGGAGGCTAAAACAATAGAAATTATAATTTTTTAGATATGAATTGGGTCTTTGCCACACAGTCAAAATCTCTATATTTCTGCAACCTGATGGTGTAAACCTGAGATATTTCAAACGTTAATATTTTGTTTTAACAGAGTTCATAGTTTAAAATATCGAAAGTCTACGATATTGGGTTGCAAAGATAAAAGGTTTAGAAAATCAGAGAGACAAAGACTCAATTCCTTCTTGATTTTGTGTTTAAACTGTTATTCACTTTTGGGTTAACAAAGATTTTCAATATATTAAAAATATATTTTTATAATTACTAAGATCATTCCTAACCTGATATTGTTGTTACATCGAAAACTCCATAATAGATATACTTCTGGAGGCAGGGACCTGGAGATATTATATTATTATTAGGAATTCAGGGAGTTTTACGCCATTCTTAGATATACTTCTGGAGGCGGGAACCTGGAGATATTATATAATTCAAAACTTGTTTGGTCTTCTCCGTTGTTCTATGAATGACAATATGCAAGACAAAAATCTACAATTAAATTCACTTTAATTGGGTGTGCTTGATCGGAGAANCTGGAGGCAGGGACCTGGAGATATTATATTATTATTAGGAATTCAGGGAGTTTTACGCCATTCTTAGATATACTTCTGGAGGCGGGAACCTGGAGATATTATATAATTCAAAACTTGTTTGGTCTTCTCCGTTGTTCTATGAATGACAATATGCAAGACAAAAATCTACAATTAAATTCACTTTAATTGGGTGTGCTTGATCGGAGAAATACTTTTTCAGTTGTACAATCTTTTATATAAGGCAGCGTGGCAAATTTTTTTGCACTGTTTATACAGATTTAAACTTCAAAGTGCATCCCGAGTTGAAAACTTTAGAATTGGATACACCTATATCCCGATCGGTTAATTAATTTGGAGATTATTAGCAAGAGGAGATCAAGCATTGACCTCGATATCAACTATTCTAAAGATTTCAGCTCTGAGCTGAAAACTTTAGAATGGGATTTTCTTTAATCCCGAACACACTTTTGATTTTTTTATTTCAATTACATGAATACGATGCTATATCGATTGGACTAATATCCGATCATAAGCCGGTTTTTAGAACATTAAAACAAATAGAGAAATTTAGTCATGTTAACATATATAAACTTACGTTCGTTCAATTGATATGACATCACAAATGCGGAAAAAACTAAAAACCGGTTTTTCGAAGTTAAAGAGTGCATCTCTAATCTCGAGAAATAAATCTAAAGACTAAATTAGTTTTGAGATTCGCAAAAAGAGAGGATCAAGTATTGATCTCGATATCCACCATTCTAAAGTTTTCAGCTCTGTCTTTTTAGGAATATTTTCAGTCATAACATTTGGTCTCTTCAAATCCGTCAAGAATTGCGTCAGATTTAAAATTTAAAAAATATAGTCTAACGAAAGTATAAACTGACAAATACGAAAAATATACGATGGGTTATCTAAAGTGAAGTTTAACTAGTAGGATTTCCAATAGAAATTCCGTTGCGCAGAATTGCGCAGAATTTATAGGGCTCGCAATTGCAAGCAAGTGAAATCCACTTGCGTTGGAAACCCTACTCACTGGACTTTCAATCAGAACCTCTAGTTAACAGTTGGCAATGGGTAATTATAGGATATAAGGACATCTAGTTTACTGTGGGTAATGTATAACTATAGGATAACAGGACCTCTAGTTTACCGTGGGTTATGGATAACTATAGGATATCAGAACCTCTAGTTCACCGTGGGTAATGGGTAATTCCTCAAATTGACCTATTAAGTCACAGAAGGTCGTTTTTTGCCAAGTAAAAAAAAGAAATAATGGAAAAGGAGCATAGATAAGCTAACAAGACTGATAGGCATGGGGGGCAACGCAGAATACTTCTACTCGTACAGGGTTACACTGACCGACAAAGAATGAGACTTCAGAGACGACGTTGCGGAAGATTATCTGCCAGTTTCCTTCAGGGAGTAAGGAATAGAAGGGACAACTGACGCGGTGCGCCCTACCATATGATTTTACATGCTTTGCAGACGGGTACTTCATTTGAATAAGAAATATTTGTCTGATGTTCACTTACCGCGTATACAATAACCTATTCTGAATATTTCTTATACAAATGAAGTACCCGTCTGCAAAGCATGTATAATCATATGGTAGGGTGAACCGCGTCAGTTATATCTCCCTTCTATTCCTTACTCCCTGGTTTCCTTTCTTTCTGGGTTCCTAATCACAGTAAAGTTGTTACAGTCTTTGCAAGATAATTTCGTTTATTGTTTATGGACTATGAAGGTAAAAGTTCGTCCTAAAAGTATCATGCTTTGTTGGTAACCCTGTATGATAATTTTAGGGACTCCTCTTAACTTACATCATCGGACTCCAGGGACATTCTTCTCTGGGAGTCCTCAGTCTCCATCCAGGAGTGGGACACTATAATAATATTAATAAATATATTTAATATTTTATTATTGAATTTAAAGACTACAGGGTATTCAGTTCAATTCGCAAGATAATTGTGCATAGTTTACGTTTACCTGTAGATGCAGAGTAGAAGATTCAAAAATATATTTTTTTAATTAAAAATTTTAACTTACTTTCTATTTTAACAAAAACAACGAATATTTCTAGGATAAGAAGAACGTAGCTGAAAAATAATTATTTCAGAAAAATGTTCTCTGAAGCTTGAAAATAAGTATAATTAACATATCGACATGGTAAATCTATCTTTGAATCTCTTTACTTTTTATTGAAAACGAAGAAAAATCGAACAATTTTACTAACTTTACATAACAAGACTAAATATGTTTTTCGAATTCCCATATCTGTGCAACCTGTGAGACTTTGGATCTAGCCCGCATGCGGATTGCAGAATTCATAGTTTATAATACAAGTAGAAATAGAAAATAGTGGAATAAAAAGACGACATTAAATCATTATTTATGCGTTAGTGTTTTAAAAGCTTAAAAACAATTTAGTTAAGTAAAATTACGTTATCTGGTGTTCTTTGAATTATTTTAAAATCATAAATTGAGTCTTCTTAGTAATCCATAATTTTTTGGTTCTTACTGTATCAAAGGCCTCTAGAATATCTGGTTGCTAGAACTAGAAAATTATAGTTTAAGGCTAGTTATAAATTCCATTTCTTGATTTCTGAAATAATTTCCTAAATATATAAAGTGCCGCGTAGGGTACACAGCATAACTTCCTCAGGCGTAGAGGAGAAGACGACTTCACCGGGTTGGGTCTAAAACAGGATTTTTCAAAAATTAAAAATGCGGGAATTTTTCTTCGTTTAATTTGGAAATCTAAAGATACGGGATAAATGGTGTTTTAAGTACAGTAATATCAAACAAGTTAGGTGGGATAAAAGTTTTTTACAGCTGTAGATTTTGTATTTTGTAACTATTCTCTGCAAAGTCGTCCATTTGAAAAACAAACCCAACCTTGAGGCGGCTAGAGAAAACAGTGCAGTGTACATAAGACTATATAAGGCAAATCAAGCCAGTACACCAAATAAATTATCCCCTTCTATTAAGTTTATGTGTATTATATATCTATGAAAATGTGCCCTGGACTTTTACAGAGATATATCGTTATAACAATTTCAAATAAATAAACTGTGCAATGACAACATTTATTTACCTTTCTTGCTGGTTATCACTGTAGCATATATATAGCATGCCGCATAAATCGATGACGACTCTTATTTTACCTGAATGCCCTGTAGAGGCGAGTTGAAAAGGTTCCATAAGTTCCCTCCAGAGCATCGTATAACGAACCTTAACAATACATTTTGGACCGACAGTTAAAATATATTTCATTTAAATTTTGTAATCATAAATCAATCCTTTCATTCAAATGTTAGTCTACATTTCTTTAATTGATTTCAAAAACGTTAAATAATGCATATTTTCTTCTAAAAGTATGTTTATATATACAATTCTGAACATTTTCCTTATTACTTTACTGTTTAATCAAGTTTATTGACTGTCAATAGTTTTACTAAAATATTTACCTATAATCTGAATAACTGAGTTTTCCGCCCCAGCTGTGGTGCTGACCTTAGAATGGTCGGTAAAGAATAGTTTCAGAGGTTGAGCTTTTACTTGCTTCTGCATAAACTGGGGACCTAAACATTTACAAAATTAAATGAAACGCAATGGTTTGGTTTGGTTTGGTTTGATCTGGTTTGGTTTGGTTTGGTTTGGTTTGGTTTGGTTTGGTTTGATCTGGTTTAGTTTGATCTGGTTTGGTTTGATCTGGTTTGGTTTGGTTTGATCTGGTTTGGATTGGTTTGATCTGGTTTGGTTTGATCTGGTTTGGTTTGGTTTGATCTGGTTTGGTTTGATCTGGTTTGGTTTGGTTTGATCTGGTTTGGTTTGCTATATTACCTGGAGGATGTGAGAAGACAATATTGACGAGAAGTCTGAGCTCGTTAAACTTCCTTGCCAGGAACACATTCAGGTTGTACAGGGTGTTCCAATCCGTTCTATACGTTCCTGTACATACCAATATAGTTCCTGTACATAACAATATAGTTCCTGTACATAACAATATAGTTCCTGTAAATAACAATATAGTTCCTGTAATAAACAATATTATTATATATTATGAGTTCCTGTAAATAACAATATAGTTTCATACGTTCCTGTACACAACAACTTAGTTCCTGTACACGACAATATAGTTCTTTACGTTTCTATGCACAACAATATGTTCCTGTACACAAGAATATTATTCCAGTACACAACAATATAGTTCTATACGTTCCTGTACATAACAATATAGTTTTATATGTTCCTGTACAAAACAATATAGCTATATACATTCCTATACATACCAATATATTTCTATACGTTCCTGTGCACGACAACATAGTTCTATAGGTTCATTTACATAACAATATATTTCTAATCATTATAGTTCTATACGTTCCTGTGCATAACAATATAGTTCTTTAGGTTCCTGCACATAACAATATAGTTCTTTAGGTTTCTGTACATAACAATATAGTTCTATACCTTCCTGTACAAAACAATATAGTTCTATAGGTTGCTGTGCATAACAATATAGTTCTTAAGGTTCCTGTACACAAGAATATTATTCCTGTACACAACAATATTGTTCTATACGTTCCTGTACATAACAACATAGTTTTATATGTTCCTGTACAAAACAATATAGCTCTATACATTCCTATACATAACGATATAGTTCTTAACGTTCCTGTGCACGACAACATAGTTCCATAACTTCAGGTACATAACAATATATTTCTAATCATTATAGTTCTCTGTTCTATACGTTCCTGTGCATAACAATATAGTTCTTTAGGTTCCTGCACATAACAATATAGTTCTATACGTTCCTGTACAAAGCAATATAGTGTTATAGGTTCCTGTACATAACAATATAGTTAATAAGAGAAGCACCACAAATTAATTGTGTACTGTAGTCACAGCTGTAGTTTAGCAGAGATGAGGCAGGAAAAGGGGAATAATGTTTGTCCCACGAAACATCATAATGAAGAGAAAGCGCTTGAATGTCGTCTTAGATATAAGAATAAAAATGCGGAATTCATTTGTCAACCCACTTTAATATTTATGATTCTTAAAACATTAATCAAAAAATTCCCCCTAGTACAGACATTTGCAAAGTGTGGTCTGCCCTTATTGTGGTTTTAATATTACCGGAGATATTAAAAGTAAAAAGCAAAAAGTAACATGGAGACAAATTGAAATTATTTAATAAATATGGCTAGGTTTACGAAGAGCTGTTTTTACTCATCCTCAAGCTTGCAGGGGAGTTCTTTTCGAATTTTAGTGTTGAGAAAACTGAAGCTTTTCTTGATCTTTACAGGCATTTACATCTTTTACTTTCCCTGTATTAACAATAAGTATTTGTGATTCAAAAATATTCAGTAATACATTTATTTATATTTTAACTCAAATCTCTACATCTTATACCTAAACTTGTTTTGTTTTATTAAAAACACTTAAGGGAAAGAAAACACGGTGCAAAACAGACAAAAGATCTATCTTAATAAACTATACGGTGTGATAAGTTAAAAATCTAGTTTTTACTCTTTAGTAAGTATTTTTTTTGAGTTTTTCAGTTCAAACATTTTTTCGCCTTTGGTGTGCCCCTTAATTATCTATTATCTGGAATTTATAACATTTGTGCCCCCCCCCCCCATTTACAAAATCCTAGCTACGGGCCTGCTGCTTTATATTAGTAAGTTTGTTTATTCTCCTCTCACAACTGCAGTACACTTTATAGTTGTTTGTTTATTCTCCTCTCACAACTGCAGTACACTTTATAGTTGTTTGTTTATTCTCCTCTCACAACTGCAGTACACTTTATAGTTGTTTGTTTTGAATATATCTTACCTTTGCGTATTCCAAATAGAACTAGGTACAGCAATATAAACATCACAGGAATTGAAACCAGCGCTGAAAAGAGAAGTTTAATGATTTTATAATAAAATGACGCACATTTTCTTCGAAATCAACCTTTTTTCAAAGTTGCTTTGTTTTTTCAGAAAATATACTTTTTTGACAAATCTTAAAGTGGCAAACAAAAGATTTAAATATTTTTAGGAATATTAAGATTTATACTTTTTCTAGTTTTATATTTCTTCAAAAATTAGAGAAGAAAACTCAAGAAACTTTTTCTGTTCAATTTAAAAGTTTTTTCTTCATTTTCTTCAAGTAAACTTGAAAACTTTGCCGCAGTGTTTCCCAAATCTAAAACTAAAATCTAAAAGTTTTAGAATAGCAAGAAAAAAACCCGACTAATTATACTGTCCACTTTTACTGATTCTTTTCCGAAGCCCTAGATGTAAAAAAACACCTCTTAGATTTGAATTTAAAGGGACTGTGAGCGTGATTTCAAGTAACTCTTTATGTCAATATACCATACCCTTTAAACGGCGCTTAAAGTTAAAGGTTTAATAGATTTCTACCTGAGAATGTTTCCTTGTCTAGTTTAAAAGTTGCAATCCAGATTAGCAGTCCGACAAATGTAGAAATATGAAAAACAATGATAAAAAGAAGAGGGCTAAAATGGAATGTGGGATCTATCCAGTCTCGAGCAAAACTCTCCATTTCCTCCCTAAAAATTGAAATCTGTTAATGTAAAATTAAGAAAATCCGCAATGAAAGTTTAAAAGAAACAGGAACAGCTGACTTAAAATCAAAATGGCGACCTGGTCAATGTTTACCTGAGTTTATTTAGAAGAAAACTCTTCCCACTTCCCCACTTTGCATATAAACCAACTGTTATTGGCATAGAGAGGGAAGGCTCGGTAAGGATATCAGCGAGGGCACTGCCATAAAGGTCGTATCCTAGATAAGAGGTAAATCAGTTTTATTGATTCTGTAATAAAAACCTTATGATGATATAATTATTAAATGTACTATAAGCGTAATGTTAATCGAGCCTCCATGCAAAGATAAAAATACCCGATTTATAACACAACCCGTGAAACATTAATCTAATAAAAGTGGGGAAGAAATCATCGTTTTTTTTACTCAAAAAGTGTTTATTTCTGTGGGTTTCTCCGTTGTTTCTTATAAACAAGGAATGCGCAAGTCACTTTCATAGAGTACCCGCAATTAAAAATGAACAGTGTAAGGAAACAAAAACATTGATATCTAATGCACACTTGATCAGAAAAAGCTTTCAAGGGTACCGTTGTAAATCGGAAATTTCTGCATTAATATGACAAGACGACATTTAAAATCAATTCTAGTTCTCTGTCTGTTTGTCAATATCAGTCAGTCACTTGACATGTAATCTCCAGACCGTCAATGTCCTCTACGTTATGTTTTACCGAGCATATTCTCTGTATCTAGGTTTGTATTCAGTTTCCTTGAACCAAAGAGAAGACTGAGTATAGTTTTCTGGTTGGAGATATCTATATTGTACGGGGTCTCTCCAGCCCTAGTAAAAAAAAATTAGCAAGGAAAATATCAAAATTTAAATTTTGGTTGTCGATGAATTAAGTCATTGCCACACACTCTAATTTTATAATCCCAATATCGTTGCAACCCAATATTGTATCTCAGATATTTCCAACTATGACTTCTATTAGATCAAATAATCTGAGTTTGAAATATCAAAGGTTTATGCCATCAGAATGCACAGATACAGGGATTAGAAAATTAGATTTTGTGACCCAATTCTTTAGCAAAAAAGTCGCTATTTAAAAAAGTCAGATAGTAAAATTTAGAACTAAAATTAAACTTTAGAACAAAATATCTAACATAACTTTAAGTATCAAAATCTCTTACTCAAAAAAACGTAAATTCACACTTATTTCAGAAATTAAAAACGAGTGTTAAAAAATCATTTATTAAATAACTTTCCTTCATTCTTTGAAAGCCATTTAAAACCTTTAAATAAACATATCATTTAAAAACGGTGTAAATGATCCCCCAATAGTAACACATTTTTTCAAAATATATTTCGGTCGGGATTGACCCTTTTCAGTTCTAAATTGATAAACTACCCATCAAAGTCAATATTAAAAAAAGTAAAAAAAAATCAAGAAAATAAAAATTTTCTTTACCTATTTGGTTTGTATAAAAGCTGACTATGCTTCGGATTTTTGAGAAGGACTCCAACAATTGCTTTGGACCGAGCTCGCATGGCAATATGTAGAGATGAGTCACCTAAAAATAAAATATTCTTTATTATGCTTAAAAAAGTGTTTTAAAAATTTGAATTGTATATACAGCTAGTAATTAATAATAATATCAATTTTAAACCTTTCCTGAGGTCATGTGATGTCTCAAACGAAATTTGGTCTAGATCCGTTCAGTCGTTTTGATGTTTTTTTTAGATACAAACAAACCGACAAGCAAAGTATACAATAGATAGAAGAAACTAACCTCACAAATAAAATTTGTTTTTATTAGAATTAAAAATAGATATTCAAAATGCTGTGTTTGAAAACAAGTGCAATTCCGATTGAAGTATTAGAATTGACAAATAAGATGATAAAAATGTCACTTTAGCTTAACGTTTTATTAGACATATTTAACAGATCAGAAAAAAAATTACGAATTATTAATGAAATTTTTTTCCAAGAAACGAAAATGGTATATTTACCCATTTTATCAGTAGCGGTTAATTTAGCTTTCTTTTCAATTAACATTTGTACGATCTCGAGGTTCCTATTCTTAACAGCCCTAGAAAATTAATTATTTTATTTAATGTTAAATTTATTTAATCATTAATTAAAATTCTAATGAAATAATTGTCTAAATAGTTAATAATTCATAAATTAGAATTTCTCGAATTTTAACATGTCAAAAACACCAAACTCTGATTTTCTAGATCTACCTAAGAAGGGGTGTGTTCCCCTTTATATTAACAATCTCTATATCTACCTGAGAAAGGGTGTGTTCCCCTCTATATTAGCAATCTCTAGATCTACTTGAGAAGGAGTGTGTTCCCCTCTATATTACCAATCTCTAGATCTACCTGAGGAGGGGTGTGTTCCCCTCTATATTAACAATCTCTAGATCTACCTGAGAAGGGGTGTGTTCCCATCTATATTAACAATCTCTAGATCTACCTGAGAAGGGGTGTGTTCCCCTCTATATTAGCAATCTCTAGATCTGCTCCAGCATTCAGCAGAACCTTCACTATACTAAACATATACAAACATATTTTGAGAACTTTCTCTTTAAATAATTGGGATATATTTTGCAGTCTGTTTCTTTAAGTCCATAATTTTGGTTTCCTTTAATAAAAAATAAAATGTAATCCTTTGTTGCAAAAAAAGGATGGAAAATTTTGTTTAACACATGAATAAGATTTTTCCAGGAATTCAGAATATTCCATTATATGATAATTTCAATCACTAGCATATGAAATTTAAAAGCCTCTGTACTTTTTTTTATAAAAGGACGAATATCTTTTTATCTAAATCTATATATATTTAAATACATATATATATAAATATTGATTATTTATTTATATAAATCAAAACATAAACACCAGGTTGTGTTTTTTTAATGGAATTGTGAACGAAATTAGAACTTTAAAACGACTCACATGTCACAAAACCATCCTTACCCCACTACTGGTGACCAGAAACCATTGAAATAAAAGTCGATTATCTTTCTTTATTTCTATTTCAAATGTCACTTATCACATTGTAATTTGTAACTAATCATTTCTAAGAACGTGCTTTGAACATTTTTAAAAATATGTTATTTACAACACAAACAAATTACAACATCTTTGGCGCCATTTCTTGATAAAAAGAAAAAAAAAAGACGACTATACCTTTCAATGATTTCTAGTTCCCACTGGTATTATTTGTTTTGAACTCACCTTGTGTGGTTTTTCTCCACTGCCCAGTACAGACAAGTCTTATTCTCCTTACCCTACAGTACAGTACAGTACAGTACAGTAGAGTACAGTTCAGTACAGTACTGCACAGTACAGTACAACACTGCACAGTACAGTATAGTACAGTACAGTTCAGTACAGTACATTACAGTACTGCACAGTACAGTACAACACTGCACAGTACAGTACAGTTCAGTACAGTACAGTACAGTACAGTACAGTACAGTACAGTACAGTACAGTACAGTACAGTACAGTACTGCACAGTACAGTACAATACTGCACAGTACAGTACAGTACAGTACAGTACAGTGCAGAACAATACTTTTTTTAAGCAAAAAGGTTGCAAAAAGTTGCAGAAAGCAAAAGACGTTGAGTAAAAATCGCATAAAGAAGAATACCTGCAGTAAACAGTGTAAGTACACTCGAGCAAAGTATACAGTACAAGAACCATTGTACAGAACTGTACATAACTTTATAATTGATTTGCTACGGTTTCTTTATAAACTAGATTTAAAAATAGTTATTTTTATAAATTCTAAGATTGAATTTCTTTGTAAATAATTGATTAACAATTAAGAATAAAATATTGTATTATATTTTCTACTCACCCTTGTATCTAAATCTGCATAGCGTCGAATAAGAGCTTCCACAATCGATTTATGTCCAGCCTTGCAAGCGATTATAAGATTCGTATCACCACCACGATCCTGAAAAAATTTAACTTGAAATTTAAGAAAAGGAATTAAGCTTTTGCCACAAACTCGGATTTTTTAATCCCTATATCTTTGCAACCTAAAATCGTGTACAATTTTTCAAATAATTAATTATGTTAGATTAAATAATCTAACATTAAACCATCTAAGGTTTACACACTCATTTGTATGGGTTAGACAATTTGAGTTTGTGGCAATTTAATTAATGAAAGGTTAACTAACAGAAAGAATGGAAACCGAATAAGCCATGAAGGTTTAGAAAAGAAATAGACAATTTCATATTAGATCGTATATCTTATCGAAGTTATTGAAACTAATTACGATAATCACTGTGATTTAATTGTTGTACAAGCTGTACAATACAGAAGAAATTGAACATAATGTGTGAATATTCTCTCTCTCTCCCCCCCCGCTCCTTACTGAACTGCAGGGACCCTGAAGAAGGATAAATTATATACATAGAATCCTGATTGTAAACCGGTATATGTACAGTGTATACTGTACAACAATAAAACTGATTCAAATACTTTAGTTTGCACTAAACCTGCGCTGCAACTCTTACATCAGAATTAATATTCAGGTATACAATTATCTGATATACTCGCTCATCTTCTCATGAAAACACATTCGAAAGTCTATATTTCTATTCACTATTATAAGTTTTATAGCGCTGAGTTCGATAGTAAATACAGGTCCATTCAAAAACCATTACTCTCTAACAAGAAACAAACAAATTCATATTTATTCTATTATTTAGAATCGCTGGTAGAGGTAACGTGGGCGTTCCTCTCTCCCCCTCCCCTCCCCCCCTTCATACTTCGTCTCTCTGCGTCCTGAGAGGTCGGAGTATAGAAGCATTAGAGATGTCAACCTGCACAACCTCCTTGGAAAGGTCGTTACCATTTATTTCTGTCTTATCTTGAAATAAATGATTTGTATAACTTTATTGCACAGCTGTATTTCTCTATCAGTGAATGCACTGAAATAATTCTGGTTACAAAAATATAGAGGTTTTTACGTATAGAGAAGATAATCCTCTTTAAACAAAATCTGGTCTATACGACATTAATGGTCTCAAGCTCTGTGAGAATTGACCAATAACTTCTTGAGAAACCAAAGCTAACAAGTGCTTTAAAGCGCTAAAATCTACATGTAAAGGGCTACAGAAAAGCATAATTGAGTTAGAGCGATAAAATAAAAGCCCAAGGCGTTACGTCACTTCAAAGTCGACCCTGTCTTAAAGATTAATAAAACTTTTGATAAGCAGACTGAATCTATGTGTAACGTCAACAAATTAAGATCACTGCGAAAGTCGTGGTAGTTGCGACTTGTTCAAATAGTTTCTAATTATTGAAGTTTCGGCAGTTTGTTCACAAAATGGTTGTTATATTGTATTCCAAATACAGGTAATTAGAAAAAAAGTATTTCGCACCCATAGATATTATTCGAAACCCCTGATTTTCTGTTCTCTGTTCCGAACCCCGCAATAACTGATCTGTGTACCTGTAGATTTACATAAGCTCCTGCAGCTATCAGTTGAAATGCTATATCTGAATTCCCCTCCTTACAGGCAATAGCCAGGGCGGTCATTCCATCCTGGTCCACGGCGTTCACGTTGGGAGAGTGCTTGAGGAGCAGGGATACGATATTAGGATAGTTTCCTCGTACTGCCATCAGTAGGGAGGTCCAAGAATACATACCAGAGGTATCAACCTGCCATAATAATAATAATAATAATAATAATAATAATAATAATAATAAGAATAATAATAATAATAATAATAATAATAATAATAATAATAATAAAAATAATAATAATAATAATAATTATAATAATAATAATAATAATAATAATAATAAAAATAATAATAATAATAATAATTATAATAATAATAATAATAATAATAATAATAAAAATAATAATAATAATAATAATTATAATAATAATAATAATAATAATAATAATAAAAATAATAATAATAATAATAATTATAATAATAATAATAATAATAATAATAATAAAAATAATAATAATAATAATAATTATAATAATAATAATAATAATAATAATAATAAAAATAATAATAATAATAATAATTATAATAATAATAATAATAATAATAATAATAAAAATAATAATAATAATAATAATTATAATAATAATAATAATAATAATAATAATAAAAATAATAATAATAATAATAATTATAATAATAATAATAATAATAATAATAATAAAAATAATAATAATAATAATAATTATAATAATAATAATAATAATAATAATAATAAAAATAATAATAATAATAATAATTATAATANCAAACCCTTAAAAAAGCACTTTTGTTTTTGAAAAATTTTCGAAAAAGGGGGGGAACCCCCCCTTAACCCCACCCCCAAACCCTAACAAATTAATATATTGCCCCCCCTAGCAAAAGTCCTAGTTGCGCCTCTGCAGCCCAATTTCATGATAAAATGATATAAAAAGAATATCACTGTAATACATATAAATATAAATGATAAATAAAATATAATAAAATGAATTCAATGTTGACTTTTGTCAATAAATGATTTAAAAAGTTTGCTCTTTATAGATAAGATTTGATTCCGAACTATAACTGAAAGGTTTCCGACAGAATTATTCGATTTCAAGAATTTGACAGAAAATCTGGAAAATTATTAAAATATGGATTGAGATATTTGTATTAGTTTTGGTTTATAAAGCTTAGTAAGTGATAACATGTGCCCTATCGAGGCGGCTGAAGGTAAAGGAGGGGGGGGGGGGGGGGGGGGCGTTCCCCTCTCTCGAAATTTGGGGGATATAGAAAAAATTAGAGCACACAACCATAGAGAGGGGACAACTTCTATATAGTTCCTTTTATTTGATTTCAAAAACTAGTTTTTGTTCAATTACCTGACATGTGCCCTGGCTTTTCCAGATGGTAATACGCGGATTTCTACAGCATTAAAGAAAATGGCCAAGATTTGACGTTTTTAAAAAGAGTGGTCTAATTTTTGTATTAGTTAGAAAATCAATTAATGAAAAAATATCTTTACAAGATACTATTTTAGATTACAACTTGAAAAAGGTAAATTTAGTTACTTTAAACCCTTTTTTGTTTATAGATTCAATGTTTTTAAAGTTATATTTGTAATATGATAATATTAAATAATATATTTCTCGAGTAGATATTGTAAAATAATATCTATAATAAAATAAAAACAACTATGTATATATGTATAAGTAAGTTTTCTAAGATTGATTATGCTATACTGCAGTATTCTCAAAGCAGTGTAATTGTAGAGAGTGTAGAGCATACTTTCTAGTTTTAATAAACGTAATTAATGCCACTTTTAGATCAAGGCATTAAACGTAAAGAATGAGAATATAAAAATTAGCTGGGGGTTCCTAATGGGGGGGGGGTAAAGTGTTCACGCCCCCCTTACTTTCGTAAAATGGTGGTCGATCTGATTATTTTACTATACATGGGATAACTTAAAATCAACGAGATGGAGATATAGAAGTAAAAAATTTGAACGAAAAATACACCATCCTTTTTTATGAGCAAACAGGTTCTAGAAAAATAAGAAATGATGCTTAGATTGAAAATGCATCATTATAAACTTATCATTACAAATGATGAAATCTATCTAGGTACTATTCAGTTTCACTTAGCTATCAATACTAAATCCGAACACAATCTATTTAGGTATCAATGTCTTAACGAACACAAGCACTTAATCGATCAACACCTAATCAATGGGCGCGATCAGCTATCAATGTCCCTCCACAGACACAAGCACTTAATCGATCAACGCATAATCAATGGGCGCGATCAGCTATCAATGTCTCTCCAAGCACACAAGCACTTAATCGATCAACGCCTAATCAATTGACGCGATCAGCTATCAATGTCTCTCCACGAACACAAGCACTTAATCGATCAACGCCTAATCAATGGGCGGGATCAGCTTTCAATGTCTCTCCACGGACACAAGCACTTAATCGATCAACGCCTAATCAATGGGTGCGATCAGCTATCAATGTCTCTTCAAGGACACAAGCACTTAATCGGTCAACGCCTAATTAATGGGCGCGATCATCTATCAATGTTTCTCCACAGACACAAGCACTTAATTGATCAACGCCTAATCAATGGGGGCGATCAGCTATCAATGTCTCTACAAGCACTTAACCAATCAACTCCTAATCAATGGGCACGATCAGCTATCAATGTCCTTCACGGACACAAGCACGCAACTATCAATGCCAACCCAATGAGCATGATCCTCAGCCTGTTTATCATAACAGGGAACGATAACTCTCTCGTAGTAATCAGTATGGAGTCTCTATATCAACTAATGTATATGTATATGTTACAAGTTAAAAATAATAGACTTAATTATAATTCCTACATTGTAGCAGCAATAATTCGATTCTAAATGAAAGTTAAGAATGCTCGAGAATTATGAGGAAAATCCGGGAACAGGAAAAACGGAATTCAGGAAAGAATCAGTCTCCTTCCTCAAACACAAGAACATGTACTCCTGGATATTAATATATGTTTATTTACCTATTTAGAATAAACCACATATTTATACTTGTTCTTACTCTAAAACATCATTATTTATATCACATGATTAAGGCAATCATGTTATGTATTACAGCACAGTTGAAATAGGTGTAATTAAGATGTAGATCATTATATATATATCACATGATCCAGCTAATTCATTTAAAGCGTAGTACAAATTAATAATGGGTTTTACGTAAATGTTAACAAAAGTAGATAGTTAATAATCTACAACATACTTTACAGAATATTGTGTAACCCAATATGTATTACATACTCCTTGAACTATAAATATAACAGAGATGGAGGAATCAGGCAAGAAAGGAAAAATCCAGTCTGACAAAACACCCAAAATACATTTTCTTCTTTTCCTTTAAAATACGCTAAACAAGGCACAATTAGATTATAGATCGTCTGGCAAGCTCTATGATCTTTTCTCTAGATCAAAGAAACAGAAAAAAAAACCACCGATTAAAATATCTAAATATTAACAAACCTGTGCTTCTGAATTAAGTAGTTCCTCTGCTATATTAGTATGACCGGCCCAAGCTGCCCTTATTAACGAACCTGTGCTCCTGCATTAAGTAGTTCCTCTACTATATTAGTATGACCGGCCCGAGCTGCCCATATTAACAAACCTGTGCTCCTGCATTAAGTAGTTCCTCTACTATATTAGTATGACCGGCCCGAGCTGCCCATATTAAAGGGGTTGTTCCATATTTATCACTATGATCCACTCGTGCACCCTTAATAAAAAGAATGCAATGAGAAAAAAAATTAAAACTATGTTTTATCAGATAACGTTGATTTTGCGCCATTTTATTAACAAAGACATGATGTCACAAATATGTCAACGGAGTTGAGTCTTTGCCACAAACTCTGATTTTCTTATCCCTATATTTTCCAATCCAATGTCGTAGGGCTTAGATATTTCAAACTATGAATTATGTTAGATCAAATAATTCAAGCTTGAAATATCAAAGGTTTACGCTATTTGGTTTGTGGCAAAACTCAATTTCTTTAACCAATAACAAAAAACTATTTCAATTTGACTTTACATTTTACAAATTAAAGATTCATGAGATTCAACCCCAATTGCTTCATACTATTTACTTTGAAAAATGCTAACTTTTTTGGAAACTGTGGATTGAAATTAGCCGTAAATATCATGGCCGGACTAATTTTGTATTTGTATATTTCTCACAGAAAAAATACCAAAATCATTTTAATAGTAAGCTAAGGAACTTGTGGGACCTAATAAACTATGGAATAGGAAGACGACTGTTAAATTGAACTTACAATTCTCTTTAGTTCAATCATCAATGATCATGGTGTACACTAATTGTACATTAATTGTGAACTGCAGTGTACAACTTCACAAATTGTAATGATACAACTGTACAGTTTATAAATATAAATTGATTTTTAAGCTACCATGGTAAAACTAGTTTCTTCTCATTCCACAGTTATAAGGGTCTTAAGCCGTAATGAATGATCTATACCCAAAGAGAATAGATTATACATAGAGTGGAATTTACTCAAAAAAAGTGTAAAAAGGCCATTTTGTTGCACTGTTTCCATACTGCAGGTGTACTTCACACCCTAAAAGCCTCCCTATTTGAATTAGAAAAATTAATTTAAAACAAGATATTAATTGCAGTATACAAAAGAGTCTAAAGCAAAAAAGATTAACAATTCTGTAGATATTCACTTTAAAAACGACGATTTTTACATGTTAACGTTTAATAAAATAATGAATTTAATTCACATATAGCGAATACACACGTTTAAAGTTATCTAATAACTTCATAAAACAAAGAATTTGGAATGAATATGTCCAGGGATCATACTGTAATAGTTTGATGTACTGCGTATAATTTGTGAACATTTACATGAATTGTACACAAAATTCATACCGAGGGATTGTTTAAATCCACTCTAATATATTTTATTCTCTTTTCTATACCTGAGATAGAAGTAGTTTGACTAGCTCAAGATTACCCCGTCCTGCCACCCAAACCAAACCTGAAGTTTTCAGTCTTATTTGAAATCTTCTAATCCACAGGGTGATGACACAAAATTCTGGCATATTTTTAGAATCGCGCTGCAAGGAAATTTATCACCCGCCGGGTGAATAATCACCCTGTAGGAAAACTTCTATTCCACAGGGTGATGCCACAAAAATCTAATTATTTTGTGTTTCTAGAATCACCCTGTAGGGAAATCTTAAATCCACATTGTGTGGATTATGATACAAAAATCTTTCATGTTTTCAGAATCTCCCTGTATATAAACTTTAATCATTAAAACTATTCTTAAAGGAATTTTTGGTTTAAAAGAATTTTGGTTTCGTGACTTGGAATACTTTGTTCTATTCCTGTATATCTGATATTTCCATCATTAAACTACGTGTTGAATGTTAATTTCAGCAAACTTTATAAAACTTTATTCCAGGGGTGTATTTTCACTGGAAGAATTCCCCCCCCCCCCGTTTGTATATCACTTTTTGTTAACGTTTTCATTGAAAAGGATTAAAAAACCTCAATAATCATTTCATTTGTAACTCTTAAATTTATACAATTATAGAATTATACACCTCTGTTTCATTGTGATTTATGGAATCAAAGTTCATTTCTAGGAAATAAAAACTTGCCCCAAACTCTAACTTTTGAATCCAATATCTTACAACTTGATGTTTCAGTCGTTTGATGTTTTAAACTGTCATTTCTCCTATATCTCTATATCTCTATATCTCTATATCTAAAGGTCTGATTTGAAAAGTTTACGACGTCATGTTGCAAAAATATAAGGATTCTAAAATTAAAGTTTGATTTGCATGTATTTTTTATATACTTTTATGTACTTTTTAAAATTGAAATCTTAGAATTTTTTATCTTTCTGAGAAAAATACATGTCCTTTTTCCTGTTTTTACAACTTTTTAATCTTCTTTGCGTTTCTTGATATAGAACTGTTGTATTGTTTTTCAGAAGATTATACCTGTACAGTTGTGAATTCCCTTGGCATTGACCTCTGCCCCATGCTGAAGGAGAAGTGAGGCCATTTCGAGGTTACTTGTGTAACAGGCCCATAGGAACGGAGTCCAGAGTCCAACATCCCGACCATCAACCTTAATTTTCAAAATGGTGGACATACAACATGTAACACGTGATGAAATTCTTTAAATGGCGGGGAATTTTATGAAAAATTCAATAATTTTTAGCGACAGATAAAATACAACTTATATTCTTTTTAGATTTTAGCTACACGGTAAAATCAGAAATGCTAACGTAATAATTTTAGAGCAAAATTATCGTTCTAATAATTTTAGAGCAAAATTATCGTTCTAATAATTTTAAAGCAAAACTATCGTTCTAATAATTTAAAGCAAAACTATCGTTCTTATAATTTTAAAGAAAAACTATGGTTCTAATAATTATAAAGCAAAACAATCGTTCTAATAATTTTAAACCAAAACTATCGTTCTAAGGGTGCAAGAACTCTTCNTCGTTCTAATAATTTTAAAGCAAAACTATCGTTCTAATAATTTTAAAGCAAAACTATCGTTCTAATAATTGTAAAGCAAAGCTATCGTTCTAATAATTGTAAAGCAAAACTATCGTTATAATAATTTTAGAGCAACTGCAAAACTATCGTTTTAATAATTTTGAATTTTAAAATTTTAGTCATGGAGGTAAAACTTGCATTTTTATAGGGAAGTAAAATATTTTGGGGAAATTAGATACATCTTAAAGAAAACCACTGCAGCTTAAAAATAGAAGATTTTTTTGAAATAATCTGAAAGCTTAAATTGAGAAGTATTGAAAGTTGCAAAAGTTGAAGGGATGAGTAAAAGTTGAAATCCTTTTTAATTAAAATATTTCTGATATGAAATATTAGAAAAGTTCATTTTGACGAGTAAAACCTAAAAAAGGTGGAAAAAAATTGTCATTTATCGACTAAACTCAATCTTGCATTTGGACTTTTATGCGAGAAAAGTGGCAGGTCTGATTCACATCGAAACCCTTGTGATACAAATGAATTAGATATCTTTATATTTCTGGGTAAAATTGATTATTTTCAATCAAGTTGTTTTTCTAAACTTATAATGAAGAGACACTGAAGGATATTATCTGATTTTAACAGGTAGAACTCAGGTGAAGGTTTTCAAGATACCATGAATCGGACATGCCAGCTGAGGGACAATAGTAATTACGTCTAAGATTAGGGGTTTTAAATGAGAAAGGAACGATCCAAAAGATCCAAAAGTGTCCGTCCAGTTACCTCCGTATATAAAAAAATTGTACCTTTGCTCCGAGCTCGAGTAGTTTCCCTGCAACCTGTACATGTCCCTCCCTAGCAGCATGGTGGAGAGGTCCACACCCCTCACCATCTTCTTGCAGCAGGTCGGAACCATTCTCTAACAACATAGAAAACATAGAAAACATAGAAAACATAGAAAACATAGAAAACATAGAAAACATAGAAAACATATAAAGCATATAGAAGTCGCCAGAATCTAGATATAATATATATCATGAAATAAAACAGACCAAAAATATAACCAACAAAAAATAAAACCATTTTCGACAAAAAAACATTTGGTAAAAAAAGCTATACTTTTGGTTAAAAATTGTAATGATTTTTATATTAATAGTGTAAACTTTTTCCAGTCTATCATATTTACTATTTTAAACACTGTAATTTTGGTTTGCAGTGTTATAAAGTTTTTGGACCGAACCTTCATGATAAAGAGAAAATTTAAGTCCAAAAACTTTATAGCACCTCATGCCAAAATAATAGTGTTGATTTTAATTTTATTTTCATTTCAATTGAAAAAAAAACATTTTGGAAATATCCTAAATTTGTGGAGAAAATCCTAGTGGAACCAATCAAAACTTTATAGCACACGTGCTATAATGTACAGCTATTTTAACTTTATAGCACGATGATTACTTTATAGCACGTTAATTATGAAATTCACGATGAAGTGAGTAAGAATGATAAAGTACACAATAGTTTGATAAAAATGTATTTGTATTGTTTGTTGGTTTTTTTATCTGTTTTTGGGTCTAATACACCACGAAACCACGCCTTGCCCTGTAGGTATAAAATGCCCCAGTTTTATAAAATAAAAGTATATAGTGTCAAGTTCTAAGGTAGTGAGATTCATGAAAAAAATAAAAAGTGAGATTTGAAAATCCAAAATGAGAATAAAAAATTTTAACTTTTATTTTCAAACTGTGGTATTGGCGGTAGTGAGATTTCAAAATCCAAAATGAGAATATAAAATTTCAACTTTTATTTTCAAACTCTGGTATTGGCGGTAGTGAGATTTCAAAATCAAAAATGAGAATATAAAATTTCAACTTTTATTTTCAAACTCTGGTATTGGCGGTAGTGAGATTTTAAAATCCAAAATGAAATCTCACTACCGCCAATACCACAGTTTGAAAATAAAAGTTGAAATTTTTTATTTTGGATTTTGAAATCTTTGGTTTGACCATTACACATTACACAAGCGTAATTTTTTAGCTCTATTGACATGTACATTGTACATTTTATAACTTCCAGTTACCACATACTTGTGTCTAGCTTTTATTTTATAGGATTATAGATTGAAGAAAATGCAGGTAGAGTTTTTCGTAAGAGCATTGCAATTTTGGATTACAGTATACTGTAGTTTCAGAAGAAGTAAATATTTCCATTTACTTTTAAGCGCCGATTGAAGGACTCATAACTCTAATTGGATAATGAGATAGATAGAAACATAGATGTTGCCGCCATACTATTTCTATTGGTTCAGAATAGACAACAAACACATGACTGAACCCTGATTGGATCAGGCGCTAATGGACTCGGCATACAGGAGTAAGTAAACTATTTAGCCGATATTATCAAAAATAAGAGAGATAAACTTTAAGATTTTCGCAGCAACTAGAAAGATTAATTGTAGATAGTGGAATGTAGGAAAACATAAAGGGAAAAAGTACTATAGAAGCAAAATGGACCTAATCATATTTTTAACTTTTTATAAACACCAATTATTTAACTATTTTTTTATTTTTACAGTAAAAGTTTAAAATTATGGAGTCTAAAAGCTATAGTTGGATACAAGGTTTTGGGGTCAACTTGTTCCATTTTATAGAACAAAGGTTATATACCGGGTGTCCTAATAAACATGGGAATTAAGTGACGACATTGTGGCCTTTTTTCATTAACACGATAACTGCAGTATTCCAGCTAACACATGTAATATCGAAAACGCCTGGTCTTGATATTTTCAAAAATGAGGTCTACCATTTTTGTATCTTCTAAATTGAAGGAGATATTACAAAATTTGTAAAAAATTTTACTTATTTAACAAATCAAAATTGTCTTAATATCATATATCTTCATCAATATCTAAGACACTAGAAAGGTATATATAGACCACTCTTTAAAAGCTCATTAGACGCATAACCTAGTTTTTATACTTTCTTTGCCATGCTTTAAATATCAGAAATTTCAAACGACTTTCAAGCTGTCTCTCAATTCCCATGTTTATTTGGACACCCTGTAGATAAATATATACCTGTCTACTGCAATAGCTGTGAGGGTGAGAGTAGACATGTACACTGACATCCCCTGTACAATTTACAATAAGGTAGGAGCATAAAATAAATTTTTTTTAAATGTATAATGTTTAATAATGAAGAAAGCAAAAATGTTTGCAGTACAAAAAATAAGTTCCTAAACGTCCTAACAGCCTGATCAATTCAAATTTAATATTAATGTATATTATGATTTTTATCATGTTTTATATCACTAGTAGTTTCCATTACTTCAAGTATATCTAAATTTTACACCAGCAAAAAAACAAGAAATAAAAAAGTGAAAATAAAGCAAGAAAAAAAAACAATTAGAAAATACTTTTTAATTTGAATTTTTTTGCTACAACGAGGCGGATAAAACTGTGTAATAAGAATTCTTTAAAAAAAAATTTAATTAGTCCAAAGAACATTAAGTACAGCAACTGTGCAGTGTTTACAGACCAATTCCACTTAACAAGTTGATTTTCGAGCTATTGGTGAAATAATTTTCTTTGTAAAAATATTTCCGGCATAAAAAGATTGCTTAAATTTGTTTGTCTTACTTTTCCATAGTTTTTACAACATTTCTATGGAGGTGACAGTGTACTTTGAAAGTCATTGAACAAGTTTTATTTGCTCTCCCCTCTCCTGCAATCTGTTAAAACGCTGAGTTCCATTTTATTTTAACTATGCATTAAACTACATAATTTAAAATGGTCATCTGAATTTTCTAACTTTTAGATTTTATGATGCAATAAAAAATATTGAATTAAAATGTTTTTTTTTCAATAAACTGTTTCTAAATCAGGTTAATATTTTGGATCTTTTGGAAAAATAAACGTTTGCCTGAAAATTTTTATTTTTGAAAAATTCGAACTCATAATGTTTTATTATTTTTACTCAATGTCTGTAATAGATCGGAAATTCATAAAACTTTTTACGTTTGGAGTTTTTACCATCTATAAATATCTAAATATACAGAAAGTTTGCTTACACATACCATTTGGATGTAATCTCGAAAGTTTAAGAAAGTTTCTAGAAGATATTATCGGAAAACTATTATATGAAAAATGAACTGGTTTTTGAACATTTTTCATGGAAAAAATATTTTTGTGGTTCAACATAAAAAAGACCAAAATATATAGTTTGGAACATATTTTTCATTGCAAAGTTTCCGATTAAAAAAGCTATTTTTCCTTTCATATTTTTAAAGCTCCCCGTATGCTAATATCTGAAAACTTTTTTATTTTGTCCATACAACGTATTTTGTCCAAACAACGTGTTTTGTCCAAACAACGTGTTTTGTCCAAACAAAGTATTTTGTCCAAACAACGTATTTTGTCCAAACAACGTATTTTGTCCAAACAACGTGTTTTTTCCAAACAACGTTTTTTGTCCAAACAACGTGTTTTGTCCAAACAACGTGTTTTGTCCAAACAACGTATTTTGCCCAAACAACGTATTTTGTCCAAACAACGTGTTTTGGACAAAATAAAATACACGAATTTAAACCTGTTGAGTGTATATTCTATTCAACTAAATATCTTTAAAAGAAGAAAATACTTGTATAAAAAGAAAAGTAAATCCAAAATACTAAAACCATGGCGTTCATAGTAGAATTAGAAGTTGCATTTGAAGTTTTATTTAAAATTAAATACTTAAATATTTATATATTTGTATTTATATATATATGTTAGCTGCCAGGCCTATAACTAGGGCTGGGCACGTTCCAACTTTTTCTTACAGTTTTGGTAACGGTTAGTTCCAGGTAGCCGTTGATTTTCAAGGTAAGAACGGAACGTTTGTTTCGTTAACCGTTTTATAATTACCTCTGTTTAACGATCTCAATGGTATTAACAACGTTAACAGAAAGTTTTCAACAACCGTTTATGGCTCCAGTTAATAGCGGTCTATTATTATTATTATTCACGGCGCAGATCGCCAAAAAATTCGTTAACAGTTATAAAATTGTTAAAGGTGCAGCCCATAACGGTATTTTGTAGTAATAACGGCGTTATCGGTTTGAGAAATCGTAAATTGCACTTGCTGGACAAACTCCAGATTTTTTTGATAAAAAATCAAATTTAAAATTCAGAAAACAAAATTTAAAAACATCAAAACAAGTAATTATTTTTTTACAAGTTCAATGCAATTTTTAGAAGAAAAAAACGAAATTTACCGTTTTAAAAAAACCTTTCGTTATCGTTTTCAACCATTATTTTTTTCCAAAAACGGCTAGTCCGTTTCGTCAACGGTTTAAACAATTATCGGTTTTCCATTAATCTAGCTAGGTATGGCACCTAGCTAGGCGGAATTGACAATTTTTTTTCAAAAATCGATTTTTTTTTATCAAAATACGATTTTTTAAATTCCACGGGTAAAGCCGGCACTTCAGCTAGTACTTATTCTTACACAATGTTTTAGATTATTTCCTCTTTAGTCTTCAGTCAATAAACATGGTTAAATTTGTATTTAATAACCAAAATTATGAACTTTCTGAATTCATTTATCGAGTTTTCAATAATTAATTTGTATAAAGTGAATTAGAAATAAATGATAAAACTGAAGTATTATGAGCGTCTTCACATTATCCTTGAAAATTGATATATTTGTAATTACTAAGGAACATATAAATAAGAAAAAAATAATCTCTTTAGTGTGTAACCCTGTATTAAGTCTAACATAATGAATAATTAATCTGGTGTAAAAAATTAAAGTTCATTTAAAATCGACAATTGATACTGAAACTTTTTATAGTTTATATTTTAAAAAGCTTGGAGGACCTCCTCTAAGAAATGGGGGTGGGGGGGGGGTGTCGAGATTTGTAAAAATTGTAAAAGGGAAAGTGGACTTATTTCAAGTGACCCCCAAATTAAAGAAGGAGATGTCCAATTTACAAAGGAACCTTTAACATCTGATAAAGAAATTAATGTCAGAATTTCATACTTTATAAGACACAAAAATAACGATATCTTCCACTCTGTTACCAGACTGAGATAAAGGACTTAAAGGGTAGCTGTTATGAAAAGGAGGGTTACTTAAAGTTACGTCTACAGTCCCTTTAAAGGGACTGTAAGCGTAATTTCAAGTGACTTTTTTTATGGCGAGGCATGTCCTATTTACAACGGTACCCTTTAAACTTTTGTTCGGGCAACGATGAGGTAGATACCCTTATTTGTATATAGCTAAAGATTCAGTCCGGTGTAGTGCATGAAGACAATCCTCCCTTGCATGGGATGGGACTGACTCCTCCTAAAGTTTTAACCATTTTAACACAATGTTAGGCATAAAAAGCAATGTTAAAACATTAAAAATTATTATTTGACATATATATTAATTATCCATTTAATTCTGAGATGTATTTCAAATAGGTAAAGGCAAAAAAAGCTATTTAATCCTGAATGTCGTCTTCGGATCACGAAACAATTAATATTTACTCAAGATATAGATAATTTTTATGGTTTTTTTCAATCAAATTAAATAAATAAATATCGGAAAATTTCATTAAATTGCTTTTTATGTCTAACATTGTTGTGGAATGTTAAAAAACTTTAGAAGGGGGAATAATCCGCTCCATGCATGACACCGAGAGAATAGAGATTACAGTATATGTACTCTATGTACACTGTACATTTCATACTAGTGTACACTTGCGTGGCACTTAATTTCCAGATATATAGATAAGAATATCTACGAAGTCCTTGATCAATCAAACTAAGGTTTAAAGGGTGTTGTTGTAAATCGGACATGCCACTCTATAAATGGAAGGTCACTTGAAAGTTTTAAATAGAATTATGATCAATACCTGACTCCAAGATAATATTTTACAGAGAACAGATCCGAATATCCAGCGTCCCATAAATGTAGAGAGGGGTGTCAAAGGTACAGACACTAACAAGATATTTTTTTTAATTCAAGAAAATTTTTAAAAATACTGAATTGGACAACAAGTCACTTTACTTTATATTTGTCGTTTGTCGATTTCATAGATATCTAAATCATATCAAGTATAGATAATTATATCGGCTTCCATACCCTCCTGCCACAAAGCATTGAACAAATATTTTTGAAAAATCCATTTACTTAAAATTCAATAAGTTTCATGGAGAAAATAACAAAAAGTATAGTCCTCTAGATCAAAACTGTGAGAAGGTGGGATGGTGGAGGGGGAGTTGCGACATGCCGCCCCCTCCCCCATATAGCTTATTAGTGTTGAAAAACTTACACAAGCACATTAATATGTCTGCTATGGCCAGGTTTAGAATGAAGAAGTTGGTGGTTGTCCTCATATGCTTCCTATATTCACATTCTTCTCATAATACAATTTCTATTTGAGAAGAAAATCTCTGACTGAATTTTTCAAGTTTGATTATCTTTAAATAAATTGAGTCTTTGCCACAAATTACAGTTGTCTTATCCCAATATCTTTGCAGCCTGATGTCGAAGACCTTAGATATTTCAAACTGTGAATTCTGTTAGAGAAAAAAATCTAAGTTTGAAATATCAAAGGTTTCCACCATCAGATTACAAAGATATGCGATAATACAAAGATTCAACTTCTAATTTATTCCAAAAGAAAATGTGAGATTTTGAATAAATCTGATCAAATTTTTGTAAATTGTTTAATAATTGCAAAATAAATAACAAATCAACGTTAGAGAAAGAGTCCTTAAAGCCCTTAACATTTTCATAATGTTCATCAGTTTTTTAATATTTGCAATTGGAATGAAAATGATGCATTCACTATTAACACCGGACCAAAACTCACGAACTAAAGTTATAAAAATTACAAAAATTTTTGTAAAGTATAATTTGACTGAAAAGAAGTTCCTTGAGAGGATAATAAAGACGACCAACATGTTCCCTGTGACCCCGACTAGGAATATTGAAGAGTATGCAAACCCTAGCCCAGCCACTACCCAGGTATCCATGATATAATTCTGCTCAACATCACAGCTTCTAAATTAGGGTTTCCAGTGAAATTGAAAAACGGTTTAAAATTTCGCATTTTTTGTTTCGCCAAAAATTTCGCATTTATTCGCATCTCTTTCATCGAAAATAATGCGAAAATATTAGTTTTTTTGCGAAATTTTGCAGAAAAACTTGTATTACGAAAAAATGCCCTTTTCGTGATTTTTTTTCGCGAAAGTATTCTTACCAATTCTATAAAATACATGGTTATTCATTTTTTTAAAAGCAAGGTTTGTTGGATTTCTCATGTGGTTCCACAAAAGCTGCAAATTAAAATTTCGAATCCCTATATCTTCGCTACCTGATTGTTCAAACCTTTGATATTTCGAGGATTATTTGAGAGAATTCGCAATTTAAAACCATATTTTAAATATTATACTCAAGGAAAGTTAAATTTTATTAAATTTATTTTAGAATGATATGTGAGACAATCTTTAAGTCGTCTTTCAACCATCTGTTTTTCTTGGGACACACTGTATATACAATATAGCAAATGCTAATGTTTTAATAAATAAAGTACAATAAAAGAATAGTTTAGAGAATGATTAAGAGCCGGTAATTAATTTACACCAAAAGTCAATTATCGGACACAGTCCTCCTTCGTTTGGGTGTTTTGGCAAAATTAATTGATTAATTAATAACATTTGTAAAAGTAAAAATAATAAGAAATACTTACGACTCATTGAAATCAGTCTCGTTGCCAAAAGTAGAATTCATGCTAAGTCTCTCTTCCAAGACGGTAGATATCCGTGAAACTGAAATAATCGTCAACTGAGATTCAAATAAAATGTTTTCCTATTTTATTCGATATCTCACATGGAAATCAGGGGTTGCACAGGAAGCTTTGACCAAGGAAAAACTTAAATTTATGAAGCATTGATTCTCAAGCTAAAAGTGCTCACATTGGATATTGAGAATTGCGGATTTATATTGCAGGAAAGGAAAGAAAAAGAATTAATCGCTTTTTATAATAGAACATTTAATTAAATTGAATTAAAGGGAGTGTTGGCGAAAAATAAAAGAAGTATAAGCTTTAAAACAACTCTTTAACTGAACGTGGTCTTTTTAAATGACGTTTACAGTCCCTGTGTAAACTGGGGTTACCTCGACAATAAGCACTGAATTAATTAATAACAAAAATATTATTTTTTAGTCAATATTTTGCTGGCCAAATGTTTTTACAAATTAAATATTGCAGAAACTTCAAAAAATGAATAAATAGTAGCATAACTAACATTTCAAGAGCAGGTTTAATATATCGAAATATCGAAAATATCCATTTAAAGATATAGAGAAATAGTTTTACTTTGCTTTACAGAAAAAAAATGATAATTAAACGCTGCTAAAAATGTGTGTATTCTGTATCTATTTGGTTTAATAATCATCGTCATTTACGTTTTAAAGATTGATCCATTGTATATTGTATATTTTTTGAACATTTTCAAACTAAATTTTTGATTTCTCACATTCAATTGATATATTCACAAACTAAACCAACCATTTTTTAACTCTTAGTAAAAGCATAGGATGTTGCTAAGCGTACTGTATTGCTGAAGTATAATATGAAAAGATCCAATTTAATTATTTCTGTATTTTCAAATATATCACATCTTTTAACGAAACTTTTAGCTTAATGGAGAGTATCCCTGCAGGCTGCAGATAAATGTTCCATTACAATGATTAAGACGGCGTCATAAAAAGGTATTAAAAGTCTTACAAGTAAAACACTTGCTTCACACTCTGGTAATTGTAAATTGGCGGTACAGTCCAAATAAGGACCGCAAAGGTTGGACCAGCTCGGTTATTCAAATGTACACCGGTTATGGCTTTACTACTAGTTTTTTTTTGTGAAAATGTTCAGTTAAAGAGAGAAAACTTATTTGTTTAATATGATATAAATATTTAATGCATAGAGAATAGAATATATAGAGAGGAATTTATCCGAGAGATTCTTTTAATTCCTCTCTATATATTCTATTCTCTATGATTTAATGTTACGTAAAATGTACTTCAATTTTACATAGCATATAAAAATCTGAATTTACTTACTCTCGATGCGCTTCAATGTACAGAAAATGTCGTCTCCTAAGCATTGGTAGATAAAAACCTCATATGACGTCACTCTCGCCTCTATAATCAGTGACGTCATATGATGTTTTTAAGCTATCTATGCATAGGAGACGACATTATCGTACATTGGAACGCAGCGAAAGTAAGTTAATACAACCTTAACTTTGTTACTGTTTACTTTCAGTATTTAAAGGGACCGTTCACTTATTTGGGTAATTTCAGGGTAAACTAAACAGCCTATTCGCTCTTGATTGGTAATAGTCTTACTTTTCAAAGACAACTGTGGCCGGAGAAAAAGCCGATTTTTCGTTCAGAATTTAAGTGGAAAGGGACGGTCCCTCTCTATAGACACTAATTGATGTTTTTTTCAGTAACAGCAGCCCAATAAAATTTAAATTCATTATATTTGAATGTCATTATGTGTTCGTTATTATTATGTACTAACATATGAAAACTTTTGATATTTGAGTTAGCAAGAAATTTACATTTTTCGTATTAAAACATGTAAAATGTGTATACAAAGACGACGTCTCTAGGACAATCAATTAATCATTACTCGTATTTAGGTTCGTAGATTTTGTAAATTTTTTCCCGCATGTGCACAACTTTTCATTTGTCATGCCGCGTTCAATTCAGCTTTTTACACAGGCATTACACAATTTTGAATGCGATAAAATAGTGTTATTTTAGAAATAGAAAGTTAAAAAACAACAAAAATTAAAAAATAATGACATTTACAATTAACGATTAGATACTACAGTTTAATTTTATATTCGAAATTTATTTTGATCCACAACATACTGAAAAAAACATCAATTAGTGTCTATAGAGAGGGACCGTCCCTTTGCGCTCGAATTCTGAACGAAAAATCGGCTTTTTCTCCGGCCACAGTTGTCTTTGAAAAGTAAGACTATTACTAATCAACAGCAAATATGCTGTTTAGTTTACCCTGAAATTACCCAAATAAGTGAACGGTCCCTTTAAACTTTTAAAGACAAACAAAAATGGATGAAAATCCCGTCAAAATAATTATCTATAGTATTGGTGCATGGTGATTCACGGAAAATTAGACTTTCCGCTTATTCCACAAAAAAATCGCGCATTTGGCAGTCATCCAGCTTTTGCTACCAAAGAAGCGATTTTTGTTGAATATATAAGCGATTTTTGTCTTTGCCAAAAACTCAGATTTTCTAACTCCTATATCTTTGCAACCTAATGTCAGATCATCATCAGATATTTCTTACTATGAATTCTGTTAGATCAGATAATCTTAGTTTGAAATATCTAATGTTTACACTATCAGGTTACAAAGATATAGGGATTAAAACATTTGAGTTTCTGACAAAGGCTCAATTCCTTTAAAGTGTAAATCCCTAAAGATCTTTTTGACATGACAGTGTAAACATTAGATATTTCAAATGTTATCAGATTCAGTAGAATTTAGAGTTTACTCCACCAGGTTTCAATAATAAAAGGATAAGAAATTTTGAAATGAATGATCAGTTTCTTTCTAAAATGTTCTCAATTGCAAAATTGTCAACGTCTAAAATGCGAAAATGTCTGAATCTGAATCTGAATCTGTCAAGTTAAACGAAATTACATTATTTAAACAGATTTTGAGAGAAAGAATCTTCTTAAAGGAACAGTAAAGGAAAAATGAAAGGGGGTATAGGCTGAGAGCTAATCACTTTAGCTCTTGATCGCGACCCATGAAAGTCATATCTGATGTTCATGTCTCGAGAAATTGATATAAAACTGTGTCAAATATATACGAAAATTAATATATATACAATTTTGTATAAAAGTAGTAGGTTTAAACAGATTATATTCAGCAATTAAGCAACCAATCTGAAAACGATGATATCCCAGAGAAAGCTAATTGTAAATTATGTTTACTTTTATATTTGTTATTTCTATTTTCAATAGATTTCATTCATAATATTATTTTTACGTCCGTATTACTTGACCAGAAATTCCACCAATGGCAGTGCAGTAAAGTGGTCACGTGATACAGGCGGAGACACGTGACCAGTATACTGCTCTGCCATTGGTGATAGTTCTGGTCACGTGATTTAAGTTTCAGATTTTCAAAATTTTACATATATGAATTTTCGTATAATTTTAACACAGTTTTATATCAGTTTCTCGAGACAGGAACATCAGATAAAACTTTCATGGGTCGCGATCAAGAGCTAAAGTGATTAGCTTTCAGCCTATACCCCCTTTCATTTTTCCTTTACTGTCCCTTTAAAAGCTAATTTCAGGTAAATAGCAAAATGAAATTGTATCAACACTGAGAAGGTTATGGGGTAGGGGAGGGGATATCAAAAAAACCCAATATATAATATATGTCTATCTAAATATATATATGTGTTCGTTTTGTCTGACCAAATTGGCAAAAAAAAAATTAGGAAATCAGGATAGGCACCGTGGGAGCGACAGAACTTAAACAAATATTTAAATTCTAATAAAAAATGCGAAATCCTTTTAATTCTTAATCTTATGGCATATTTTGAAATTTACAATTATGTAAAATACATTTGGCATTTAATTACATGATAAAAACAAGAGATTCTAAATGTTAAATAATGTTAATTATTAGAAGGGGAACTTTTTCTAATGATTTTCTAAAAGCAAACGTATTAATTATTTATAAAAACTATGAAAAAATACAATTAACCTTTGCGTGAAGGGAAAAAAGAGAGTGAAAATAGACATAAAAAAGGGAAAGGAAGAAAAGAGTGATAAACAGAATAAGAGGGATAGAAAGAAAAGACGGATAACAGAATAAGAGGGATAGAAAGAAAAGACGGATAACAGAATAAGAGGGATAGAAAGAAAAAAAAAAGTTTGAAAATCATGAATAGAGTGAGACACGATAGACAGAAAAAAAAGTAATAGAAAGAACAAGATTGAAAATTAGAAAAAGATTTAAAAGCAGAAAAATAGGGAAAACCTGAAAAAGGGAAAAAAGATGTATGAACAGAAAAGAGGAAAATAAAGAAAAAGAGTGATAAACAAAAACAAAAGGAAAAGAAAGAAAAGAGTGAGAGCCACCCAAAGAGGGACAGACATCCAAAAGATGGATAGATAAAAAAGATAAATAGACAGGAAAAAAGAGAAAGAAACAGCAAAAAAGAGAGAAAGAAACACTAGAAAAAAGAGAAAGAAACAGCAGAAGAAAAGATTAAGAAACAGCAGAAATGAGAAATAGCCATAAAAAAGATTAAGAAACTGCAGAAAAGAGAAATAGACATGTAAAACGATTTAGAAACAGTCGAAAAGAGAGAAGGAAACAATAGAAGAGAGAAATAGATAAGAAAAAAGAGTAACAGATTGAAATACAGGGATAAACGGGAGAAAGAGAAAAAAGATAGAAAAAAAGGGGAATAGACAAAAAAAAAAAGAGAAACAGGCAAAGAAAGAAATATAAACAGACCATATGCTCGAGAAAAGAAATATAAACAGACGGTATACTCGAGGCAGTGCAAAAGCCAACGGAAGTTAAAATATCAAAAAAGAAAGTTTATGTACAGTAATCCAACACAAAGTTTATGTACAGTAATCCAACACAAAGTTTATGTACAGTAATCCAACACAAAGTTTATGTGCAGTAATCCAACACAAAGTTTATGTACAGTAATCTAACACAAAGTTTATGTACAGTAATCCAACACAAAGTTTATGTACAGTAATCCAACACAAAGTTTATGTACAGTAATCCAACACAAAGTTTATGTACAGTAATCCAACACAAAGTTTATGTACAGTAATTCAACACAAAGTTTATGTACAGTAATCCAACACAAAGTTTATGTACAGTAATCCAACACAAAGTTTATGTACAGTAATCCAACACAAAGTTTATGTACAGTAATCCAACACAAAGTTTATGTACAGTAATCCAAAGTTTTTTGTTTTGTTTTCAGATTAATTGATTGATTAAATAACTAAAGAAAACAAATTGCAATGCTCAACATTTCTATTCTAAAAATTTGGAAATAGCCTGGATCAGAAAATAATCTGGACTTGACTTTTAAAAAGTTTTTTAAAAATCATAATCATAAAACTGATTATGTAGCACAACAGTCTGAACCGTAAAAATCTAGGAAAAGTAACAAAATAAACATGTTCTATGTTATTATCGTATAATAATCGACTAATATTTTGTTGATTCAAAGGGGAAATTACAGAAATATAATCACTAATACTTTCTAGCATGTATGAAGGGTCTGTTCAGGAAAAATGAAAGGAGGTTTTGGCGTGTTTATATAAAATGCCTTCTTTTTGAGCGAAAATTTTATGTTTTTTTAAAAAGAAAATGGTATTGAAGGTTTTAAAAGCTAGTTTTTGTACATTTTCTTTACACTTTTCAGATTATTAAATGCCTTTTTTTCGAAATTAGAAAATGTAAATACTTTCAAACTAGAGGTTTTTGCAGTAGTAAGATTTGAAATTCTCATTTTGGATTTTGAAATCTCACTACCGCCAATACCAGAGTTTGAAAATAAAAGTTAAAATTTTATATTCTCATTTTAGATTTTGAAATCTCACTACCGCCAATACCACAGTTTGAAAATAAAAGTTAAAATTTTTTATTCTCATTTTGGATTTTCAAATCTCACTTTTTATTTTTTTCATGAATCTCACTACCTTAGAACTTGACACTATATACTTTTATTTTATAAAACTGGGGCATTTTATACCTACAGGGTTTTGGCTAAGCATTAAGCAGTTGATCAAGAACCAGAAGAGTTCTATCTGATGTTCCTGTCTCGAGAAATTAATATAAAACAGTGTCAAATTTTTATGAAATTTAAAAATATAAATTTTTGTATCAAATTGTAGGTTTAAGCAGATCATTTTCAGCAAATAAGCAACAAATCTAAAAACAACGATATCCCAGAGAATCCTGAAATACTGAGGTTTGCTCCTATATTATTTTTTTATTATATTATTTATTTAAATTAAATATTTTTTTTATTTTTGATAGATATAATTGATATTATGATAAATATGTCTTTATCATATGACCAAAACTCCCACCAATGGCAGTGCAGTTTGATTATCATGTTCTCCGTCAGTATCACGTGACTAGTATACAGCACTGCCATTAGTAAGAGTTACGGTGATACAGGCGTATAAATAATGTTATCAATTAAATCTATTAAAAAAGGTTTTTAAGGTTTCTCTGGGATATCTGTTTCAGATTGGTTGCTTATTTGCTGAATATGATTTGTTTTTATTTTAAATTAATTTTGTTTACAACTTGTTTTCACGGCTGGCGCTGGATTTTTGAACATTACTGGAAAACATGATAATTTAGTCTTTATTATCAAAAATCTTCAAAATAGGAATGAATGTTTTCAAAAGTAACTCTCAGAGCATAAGAACATTTAAAAAATTATCAAACGTCAACTTTCTACGAATGCGTCAAAAAAAATGATGATTATAGGTTGTAATCTTTGTATGATTTGTTTGGAATTAAATTGATTTTTAACAATCCGAGTTGAACATTGCAACTTGCTGAATTTGCATCGACGCCATCGGTTCTTCGGTCAGAGTCGATTTAACAATTTTCTCCTTAAAGACACAACAGATAGAAGTAAGATTAGTAGCAATCAAAATCGAAGAATTTTCGACGTAAGCCTATACCCCCTTTCATTTTTCGCGAACATTCCCTTTTATATATTAGAATATTAAAAGTCCACAAAATTATGAATATTAAAAAAACGGTCTCCTGAACGATGTCCATCCCTACTAGCATTATTAGTTCCGATAATACTGTTTGCTGTTTAGTGTTTACTGTTTACTGTTTACTGTTTAGTGTTTATACATTACAAGACAGGGGAATTTAGAGAATATGAACGGTTTAAATTCTAATAAATTTAATATTTTCTTTTCCAGAAAGTCCTGAAGATTCCTGCTGTATTGGACAAATATATTTTTGAAACAAATATTGCGTTTAGAACTAGAAAATAAAATACTTTAGAATAGAGGGATTTAGTCTTTACCACATTTTCCCCTATCCCTGTATCTTTGCAAACTAATGGTGTCAAATTTTGATATTTCAAGATTTGATCTAACAGAATTCATCTTTGGAAATATCTAATGTCTACGACTATTGTGCGTTGCAAAGATATAGGGATTATAAAATCAGAGTTTGCGACTAAGACTCAATTTCTTTTGAAAAAAAAAAAATTCCCTTTGGAACTTGAATTTGAGATTTTAAAAGAGGTGGAAATTCTTTGGAGATGGATATTTGTTCTACTAATTACTTTCCTAGACTGTATTTATCGGCAGGTTTAGTGCATAAATATTCTTAAGGAGCAAAGAAACTGATTTTTTTTTAAATTAACACACTTCTAATGGAAAATAAGATTTTTACTTGAAATAACTTATCCTTCAATAATAAGAATATGTTTTTTATTAAATTGTCCTCCTTACAACATTGCCGCGTAAATCAATAAATCATGTACTGCTTAAATCCTAGAAATTCAAGGAAGTACATAGACAGGATTTCGTTACAGTGGATATTGAATACAAATAAAGAGGAAATTGAGAACTCTTTTCATAAGATATTTTATTAATATTACATCGAAAAGAAATTCTATATTGCGACGACTTTAATACCAGTTTTAGTACATTTGCACGCACTTTGTTTATAGTCTCAAAGCTTTTTCCTCTTTTCCATTTTTAGGTCGACTTGTACGTAGAGAGCAAATATCCAATCAAATATGAGATATTAGCGCGATGTCTGCGCAACTATAGTAAACAGAAACTATTCCCAAACAACTTTTTTGGAATTGTAAACATCAACTATTTCTTTAACAAATCGCTCAAATTCTTATTTTGTCTCGAACATTTATAAAAGAAATGCTTTTTAATTATAAAATCAAGCATTTATGAATTAAAAAATTCTTATGTGAAGATTTTGGCCCACGATCAATAATACTATTTTGACACCCTGGCAAATTATTTGTAGCTTTACCCCAAAACAAAAGTTTTATTTAGAGTACGAGACTACAGTTAAGGAAAATAACAATTACAAGATGTGTACAAGCCATGCAAAGAGCAACAACCTCCTTTTCAGACATATACCATACCTTTTTGAAAGACTTTTTGTTTCTCCACTGATGTGATGTGCTCACTAGTTTTAGTGGCGAATAAGTAATCAATCAGGACAATAAGTACCCAATCAGGACAATAAGTACCCAATCAGGACAATAAGTACCCAATCAGGACAATTGTCAAACTTTCCCGCCAAAAATACATTTAAATTTACGAAATTAAAAATGCTCCGAAATATTCTGAAGGTTTGGTTTGGTTTGATTTGGTTTGGTTTGATTTGGCTTGGTTTGGTTTGGTTAATGTTCTGTCCACCCCGTGTGGCGGTATAAAACAGAATAAATTCGGGAGAATCTAGAAAGGTAGATTAAACGGAGGACGGCGGACAGAACGAGAATAAAGAGAGAGAACCGAAACACAGAATCCACGTAAAAGTAAATAAATTGATCACTTGTCACAAACTCTAAATTTTCTATCCTAAATAAAAGGCTTTGTATTTGGATCAAAATTAGTTTAATTAAAAAAATGTAGATATGTAAAAAACTTAGGAGGGCCAGCTAATTTAAAACAATCAGAAATAGTTAGGCTGTAGCCCTGGCTATACATCATTTTTTTAAAAATGATCCAAATTAAAATAACATATTGCTAAAAGCGGTTTTTAGCCGACATTTATTTCGAACTATGAATTCTGAATAAATAGTTGTAGTGCGAAATATTAAAGGTTTGACCATCAGGTCGCAAAGAAAATATTAGAAATGTTTGTGGTGGGAGATGAATTACTTTCACAAAGTTTAAAGTATGACATATTTTTAATCACCTATTGTGAAGAAAGGAAAAGTTTTGATTTTAAATATGCGTCAAGTATAGTTTACCAAAGAGTAAAATTTTGCACGTTTTAATTAATAGCTCCTCTTATATATTAAGCAGAGCTTTTATAGATTCGAAAATTTGATAAATTTCACAAACGATTGAAATTCTACGTATTTTAATGACAACTCTAATTTTATAAGTGCATACAGGGTGTCCCACGAAACATGACAGTAACAAGACGGCTTGAAGGTCGTCTTTGAACTTAAAAATAATTTGCGACATTTATTTGTATACATGATTTTAGAGGTAGAATTCTAGAATTAATAATCACAAAATAGTCTTGGCATTTCCAAAATGTGTTCCGCCTTTTTTAGTGGAAATATGAAGAATTTCCTGAAGATTTCCACATTTTTGGTTTTATTTAACTAAATTGAAATTTAAACAAAATTCTGATGTCTTCGGTAATATGAACAGCAGAATAAATCATTTATGTCATATGTAAATATATGTCATATATATAAATCATATATAAAGTAGGTTGCCGACTGAATACCACCACAACGTCCTTTTAAAAAGTTTTTGAGAAGAAAATTATATTTTTTTTCTAATACATATGCGTGTAAAAATTAAGCAATACAACAGAGATAACTTTTCATGAATGAAACGTTTTTACTGTATGTAATTTCTAAATAAGAGCGTACATTCGTTCACATTCGTTCACTAGAAGAGATGGTTCGCAGAAGAAAGTATTTTTACAATTATTTAATAACACAAAACAGTTCACCGGCAGATTTTCTTAACTTTCATTGCAAATAGACGACGTTTAAAAATATGCAATGACTTCAGAATGCAAGATAATAATGATAAATAATTATACCATGACTATCAAGGATAATTGAGAGATATATGTTCCTAAACAGCATATTAGTTTGTAGATTAATTTTTGTTAATATTTCATAATATTTTTTATCTTTTTTATTAAATATTTTGCTGGCACTGGATTTTCGGCATTCTCGGAAAATATGAAAATGTCGTCTTCATTTATCAAAAATCCTCGAAACAGAAATAAATGGTTTCAAAATTAAGTCTCAGATCATGAAACATAAAAAAAATATTTGAAATATCAACTGTATACGAATGCATCGAAAAATTATCGATGATTATTAGCTGTAATATCTGAAGGATTTGTTTGGAATTAAATTGATTTTTTTACAATCAGAGTTGAATGTTGCATCTTTTTGTATTTTTATGGACGATACGTTCTTCGAAATCAGTCGTTTTAACAATTTTCTCCTTATAGATGCAACAGATGCAAGTAACATTAGAAGTAATAAAAAGTGCCTATTTTTCGCCGTAAGCCAATACCCCCTTTCATTTTTCGCGAACACTACCTTTAACAACGTACTAATTATCGACCTACTGCTCTTAACGTGCCTAACTTTATTTAAGATATAGTACAATTTTTGGTCGGAAAGCCTTCAGTTAAACAAACCTTAGTTCAAATAACACTAAAAGAAAACACAAACTTGAAAAACATTTGTAATATGATATGCATAAACTCTTTTTTAATCAAATCGTTTAAAATCTAAAAAACAAAGATATGGTAGTTTTTCAGTAAATCTATAATACTACCACAACAACAGTTCGTTAGATATGGCTTTGCAAAAATAAAAATCGATCGTTTTTAAAAACTAGACTGTAACCCAGCCCTATGTTGAATTATCCTTACTCTTTGTAGAAGAAGATTAAAAATAAAACCAATTTTGTTACTAAAAGTAATGTCCTATATATGTGCAGAGTTTTTAAAGCTGCAGCTAATTACTAAAATCCACAAGCTTATTTTTTTGCAATTTTTATATGTATCATGAAAAATTCAAATAAAATTTTAAGAAAATTAAAGAAAGACAAATATATTGTGTAAAAGAAACTGATTATCCGCCAAACAATATATTTTCTCCGATCTCTATATCTTTGCACCATTCACCAAATTCAACAAAAAGTCGAATTTTTAAATTAGCTTTGTAATGATTTTAAATGCATGAGTCTAATAAAAAGTAATGTTTTAATCATCTACTTTTTTTCTTAAAGGGAGTGTTCGCGAAAAATGAAAGGAGGTATAGGCTTATGGCGAAAAATAATCGCTTTTGATCGATTCTAATCTTTCTTTTATCTGTTGTGTCTATAAGAAAAAAAGATTGTTAGAAACGACTTATTCTGAAGAATGAAGCTTCCATACAAACTTGGAAAGTTGCAACATTCAACTAGGATCGTAAACAAATCAATTTAATTTCCATCAAATCATTCAGATATTAAAACAACAGTCATAGATTATTTTTCGACGCTACGTATAAAGTTGATATTTAACATTTTTCTAAGTGTCACTGCAGCATAACTTTGTTCTTGTGAATTATCAATTTTTAACAAGAAAAACAAGGATTTTTTATTCTTTTTTGAGCAGACACAGGTTTACAGGGTACAGTTGTGAATAAAAACTCACTTAAAATGTTACGTTAGCATACCCTTTTTTACAACTCCCTATGACGTAACCTTCCTATTCTTTAACATCCTATATTGGAAGAAGAGAATTCATTTTGTACTCTTGCATTGTGGCAATTAAAACTTTTCTAACCACTCCAATTCTAGCAATAATAGTTGGGTAGAGTTTAGATAAATGTTTTATAGTTTTGAGAAATTAACTTTGCAAATAAATAAAATTGTAAACTGTTAAAATGTAAATTTAAAAATAAAAGTTTAATTTTCCCTTTAAAAATTAAATTTTAAAGATGAAACTACAAAATTGTCTTGACTACGGAACGGAAAGTTTTCAAATCCAAAATTTTTGCAGATTAATTTATTCTTGTAAATACTTTCTATTTTCAGGCTATTTTGACTTTTATTCCAAAGGTAAACAATAAACAAACAATCCGTAGAATAAACGATTAATGATTAAAATGAAGCGTTCAAGGAAATTTAAAATTAAAAGATAAACGAAGGAGCTAAACAATAAACATCGATCACCATGTTATTTTCAAAAAAAAATGAATCGAATNCCCCCCCCCTCCCTAAGAGGGTTTCCGATATGATGATGTCTTCCCCAAGACTTCCTCTTACGTTGTCTCTCTAAAACTTTGTAAAATTGTACTTCATAAGTTTTCATTGTCCTCTTTTTATTCAATTGCAGTTGCAATGTTGCAATTTGGATTTGGCAGGTTTAGTTGTAAGTCAGCACTTCTTATCCCAAGCTAAGCCTCAGACTATTTGCAGTCTGAAAACTAGGGTTTCAAATCAACTAAAACTGTCGTCAAAATTTGTCACACCTTTTGCGAAATTTTGCATTATTTCGCAAAAATAGATTTAGCGAAAGGAAGCGAAATCGATACGAAATTTATTAAAAACAAATGAATATGCGACAATTTCGCGAAAAAGTGCAAATAATATTGTTTTCCGCATATTTTTTTTCGCAAAACTGGTTAAAGAGATATTTTGTGAAACAAATTTTGCATTTTTGTCTACGAATGGAATGCAAAAAATGCGAAATTTTCATGAAACGATTTTCCTTTTTCGCTGGAAACAGGAAGAAGAAGAATCAAATCAAATTTGTCTGTATCAACTGTATCCATTTTATAAAATTAAAAATTCAAAAATAATAAATTGTTAAAAAAATTCTTGTCAGTACAAACAATTTGTATTACATTTTCTTAATTTTGCTTTGCCAGCATTGTAGGTTTTCTTTACAAATCCAAACAATGAAAGAAAATTACACCAATTAGTGATCAAGAGATGATGCTGAATTCTCAGAGTAAACATTGTTTTTTCTTTTACATTTGGATGGATTCAAGATGGAGTTTCAAGTGATCCTCCATTTCAAGAGTGACATGTCCGATTTGCAATAGCACCTCCTTTTAACCCTTCATCAGAGTAAAAAATGGGAAAGTTTTCTTTGTTATTCAATCTTAAAATATGTTAAATTCATACAGTCTTTGAAGCAAAACTTGCAAGTCACTTTTATTGAGAACCCAAGGTTGAAATAAATTAATTTCTGAAATCTGGCAAAGGTGCAAAGGGTACCGTTAGTCATGTTCAAACTATTTATAAGGTGCGGTGTCAGTTCCTCTTACCTCAAGACACAGTTAAATCCTTTTACTCATTGTTAAATTTTCTTGTCGTCAATGTAGTATGTTAAGATCTTAACGAAATCTAATGTGGAAATGACATTATTTATAAGTAAAAAATAAAAATGTTTTTTTATTGTCCACCCATTTTTTTTCTATTAAAAAAACATCTAATTTTAATGACATTGACTATTACTTTAGAATTTAGAATCATTTAGAATATGTTGCCTTAAAATTTTAAATATCTGATTCCGACGTATCTGCACAATGTTTTCTGCGTTAATTTCCTCTTAGGAGGAACGGGGGAAGGCAGGCGGCAATGAGCCACCACTATTTCCCCTTCCGGACCACATATTAGCTTTTTTCTCTTCCGGCAGCCATGAGCCACCCCTATTTCCCCTTCCGGGCCACCACATTTG